GATGCTTTTTGTCGGAAGCGAACTGGTAATCCCGGCTCCTATTGCAAGGCTGCTTACCAGCCTAGTCCCGGTGGAGATGTTGCCAGGGTACTCATATCTCCTGTAAATGTGGTGGTGCGCCTACGATAGGGCCAGCGCCTACGATAGGGCCAAAGCCTACGATAAAGCCGACATGTCGTATGTCAGAAGACATGACGTCTAGTTGAGATCAGATCTCACCAATATTCGATATCAACCATGCTGATAGCCATTGATATCTCTACTCTTTTCCGACCCTTATTACAAGGTCTATGACCAAACTGTTGAGCCTACGGTCTGTGACTCGCCAGCTTAGCGGCTATTACAGGCTTTATTGGTTACGAATGGCTCTTCTTTCTTTCCGTGACTCGTTGGCATTGTTAGCGGATCTACAAGTAACCGTCGACGATCACGAAAGCTTCCGTCTCCATGGTTCGTGTTGCGTTGGGAGAGTGAAGTGGCAAATGTATATAACAACTGTAGTACAGTTACTGTACAGTACAGTCTGTACTATTCAGTTCAGAAAAGATCAACACTCGACTTGAGTGTTGACTTGAGCGACTCAACTCACCCAGCTAGATCATCGAGCCTCGATGAACCAAACTTGTTTCATCTCGCGTTATTGCGTACTGGATTGCGCTGGATAGTAGAGACCGACCCCATCTCACTCGTAACGCGATGTGGTTAGACATAACTCAGCAGTACTTCGAATGCATGGGTCTCGGGTTGATTTGAGCAGATCGATTATCGATTGTAATGTTACCATCGACTCATCACCACGGACATGCATATATGCATGCCTGCACTCGTTCGAGCTCACTAAGCTCAGCTTAGTCATTTGAAGATAGATGTCCTCAACACGATGTGGTTGAGAGAATCCCGAATAAAGAGGTCCAGGACGATTTGGGGCCATCTGAATGGTGTCTAGGATGACTCCTCCTGGAGGAGCTCAACAGCACGCCAGAAGTTGGCAGTATATATCTTGCATGTCGTAATCAGCAGTATTGGTGATGAACTCAGATTCTCGGTAAAGCATAAGAATGTAACTTGAATAGAGAAGACATTCATACCACTAGATGTTGAAGCTATGAGACGATAAGCTTCGAATTCCGCGTGACGCATCTCGTAACCTCCGACGAATACGGACTCTTATCTCGGAGAAACCCAGTTTGTATGTCTACTCCAAGTGACACATCCAAATTGAATGTGAAAAAATGAATAATTTACTCGACTGGATGATCCAATCGAGTAAATTATTCAGCTAAATCTGCGTCTGAAGTTCCGGTAAAGTCCCAGGAAGAACATACCTCCGACTGACCCTGCCTGGATGCCCACTGATCCCTAGAATGTAGGTATCTACACTGTGGATTCCACAGAGTAGTTTGTAGTTGAGTCTTCTCTCCCTCATGGTTAGTAGACGTAATCCAATGCAGTGTTTAGACGGAAAAGAGGTGTGTACTCGGAGACATGAGAAACACTCCCTTCCACCGTCATGAATACATACTTGGATGTAATTTTGTGAGACCGACAGTAACACTCATATACGGCCCGATAAGCAACTAGTCGGACTGAGTCCGACGGCTCGAGTAACCTCAAATAAGTGCACTCTAATGATTTGAGACTATCACTCATAATCAATGATAATAATGATTAGAGTTATTAAGATAAGCACATCAACATCATGCTAATGGACCAAGATAGCCCCCCTGCGAGATCACACCTGCAGACTCGAAATGGCCGACGGCAGTCATACTTGACTCACCAACTAGGGTAGCCGCATTCTTGTTCTTGATTGCCTTCTTACATTCAGCGATCACCGCTGCTTGGGCCCTTCCAACTCGGAGACTGGCCCCTACGAGGACGATTAAACAGTGCGGATCCTCCTGAGCTTACCACGGTTGATCAGAAGGTTCAACCCCCTCAGCGCGTCCAGAAGCATTCCATGGTTATTCCGACGCTTGTTGTGACTATGGATAACAACATGGTCGGAAACCAACATGAAGGCTTTTACTCCGCTATCATGCCACGGCTGAGTTTCTGTAAGAAGACCATAGTCTTCCTCATCTCAAGAGTATAGTCACAGAGCCTCAAGTCCTCCATCCTTACGAGCAACCCCTTCCTGTACGATACGCTGAGGGATGTGAGAGGGCTAGATGATCTACACTGTCTGTGCTGACTCCGCCGTATCTGCCGACATTTTCTGTCGGAGATTGTCGTACTCTTCGATAAGCTGCATCGCTTCTTGGACGTTTACCATGGTCTTCGGAAAGCTGAGGAAACTCCCTACTAATCCTGTCCAGCACGGAGCGAACCACCTGCAGACTGACTCCAATTCCTTTACACTCATAACATCGCAAAGGTGTTGTATCTGTTGACTTGAAGCTTCCGAGTCGCCATAGACACGTCCCACCAGATCAGCGGCCAACTGCATGCTGTCGGTTGAGATGCATACTGATCCATCACTGCTCACAGAGATCTTCAAGCCTGATGACGCCTCGCGTTCTTCTGGTCTAAACCAATTACCCCTCCTTCATGAGATCACGCAGGGGTGTACCTCCGGCATGGCAAGAAGGCTACTTGTAGAGTCCCTTCAGTGACCGTCGCAGAGCCATCTCCCAGGTAGAAGCTCTCTTGAACCTTTTAGAGTCGCATAGGACAGTGCATAAGTCTTCAACGGTACCCAGGTTCGGAACTTGTCAATATTCTTAGTCATCCTGAAGCTCACGCTCCTACAGAAAGCAAAACTGGGGCCCCTCGATATTCGGTAAGGTCACCCTGTTGGAACACTCTGTCCTTCTAGGCTCGGGCCGACGAAATGGTACATGGCAAATTTAGGTAGCTGGGCGTGGGCTTCCAGTACTGTATACTCCCGGCCTGAGACCACACTGGTCTTTCCTGTTGCGTGCTCACGCAGCTCACTAGCCTTTGTAACGCCCGTCAGGCACTTGATGTTGAGCAACGTTCCCACGTCTTTAGAGATGGGTACGTTAACCTACACAGTAGGGCAACTGTTGAAAACCGCCACGTTAGACAGTCTTAAAAAGTCGGATTGACCTCGATCCGTTTGGCCGGCGGTTCTGGTTTGACGACATGTCCATCTGGGCCGAAGAGCCCCTCGGCAGTCATGATGATCTACACCAGGTAGTATCCAGTCTTGACGGTGCTACCCACCTTCATAATAACGCCCATAGGCACCGCCAGTCGTAGGACCACCCCAGCCGGAGTGGTGAAGAGCTCCACGGTGAGAGGCCCGGCATCAGAGCTGGCAGGGACACGGCTGACCTGGGCCTTGTCGAGGACCTGGAGGGGAACTCGGCCATGGTCAGTGACGGCCTCACTCACAGGGGCCTCGTCGACTGGCATCTCTGAGCTCAGCTGCTCGCCAACGTTGGCTTGTGCCCATGTATGCGGAGACTCTCCTTGAGGTGGAGCTACTAGAAGCAATGATTAATATGAAGCATCAACGACGACACGGACCTCCGACTGACTGAGGCATCCAAGCGTGGACCCGGCCCTGAAAGTGGTAGTCAGTTGAATAGGTCCTACGAGGACACCTCGATATCAATCGCCATCAGCACAGGCACGGGACTGCCGATGTAATCCATGCTCAAAACGGCAGCGAGAGGATCTGGGCCAGTTCTGGTCTTGAAGATAACCTGGTAATCACCATCGAGGGTGGGTCGGTGAGTATGAGGACAGCCACCTCTCCGTTGCTTTGCCTCCTCACTTCCACCAAGCCGTTCATCCATCCAATTGCGAGCTCTTTACGACTGTGTTTGCTATCCTCAGTATGAGGAGTAAAGGCCAAAAGACACGACGGGGCATGGCGTGAACGAGCTCGCCATAGCTGCCGGCAATGCAGGCGACGATGCGAAGTACAGGCTTACGCGCTTCGAGCCTTCATAGACTCCCACCGTCCCATTTACCAGACCGTAGCCGAACCTGTGACGGTGGTCTAAGGAGACAAGGTGGCACACAGCATCGGCCTCAGTGATATCAGCGACGACCTCTGCCTCTCCTGCTAGGATCCGTATCTTCCTCAACAGTGGTTTGAAGCTGTGATGTGAGTCGTCACCTGATAGTCGTCGGTACCGCAGATGAGCACGGAAGTGGGTAGCTGCTGCGGACTGTCTTCGGCGGGCTTCAACGAGTCCAAAGCCATCACACGGTCGCCAGTGATAGTCCAGAAGACCTCTCCTCCTCCTCGGTCGAAGCCCTAGGGAGATGCCTGGAGGCGTGGCAAGCAGTGCCTCACTCTTATGTTGCAGTCGCCCCCTGCGAACAGCACCGACCCGCCGCCCTCAGTGGGCGAGGACCCCGGAAGACCGTCTGCGACTGACAATGCTGAGACACCATCTGGCATCTCACGATAGAAGAAATCACTGTTGCGTTCAACCTAGTGAGAAGGCCTTTAGTGATTATGGGATAGCTGACGTACATCGAAGACTGACAGACTGCTAGAGGTTGCTATACAAAGCAGATCATGTGGGGTGGTCACCCACGTGGTGAGTGCGGTTATCTATACATGAATACTGGTGGCGCTCGCGATATTGTGTGAACCTTCTTATGCATATTCAATTGAGTAATGTTTCTGTCGCCAGCCGCGGTTGGAGTGATGATAAGCACCTAGCCATGGGACGAAGATGTTCTCTGGGTATTCCGGTGATGTTGATCCTCGGCGGTGATCTCACCCTTACTTTTCCATCGGATGTGCCTAATGCCAGGCTGGTTGGACAATCTTCTCCAGTAGTGAACTTCCCGACTGTAGCCAAACCCCGCATGATCGAATGATCTCCCTCGATCGTGAACTTGGTGTAAGGTTCGAAGTGCAATTCATTGGACGCCATTGCTCCCAATTACACCTGCTGGTATGGTACCAACAGAATCATGATAGGCGAGGCTCGTCATCAGTTTGCAGATGGGAACACGTGTGACTGACAACTCGACAGATCTGCGTTGATACAGGAGCGAATGTTTGCAGTGCTGGGAATCCAAATTACTGGTCACACGCAGTCTCAGACAACTTTCAAGGTAATGTTAGCTTTAGTAACTCTCGAATAAACAGTCATCAATACAATGTACGAAATATCATCGCCGGGGATAGAACTTGCAACCTCAGACGTGTTAGACAGACATCATAACCATGTCACCATTTAGATCACTAGACATCGAGTTCCCTAACTGGCAACTGTTCGACCCAACCAAAATCAGAATCTCGACTCGTAATTCACCAAAGCCGGCAACGCTGTATCATCAAGCGGCTGATGCCCAAAGGAGGTGGAAGCGCTACCGCTGGTAGAGGCGCTCGAGATGTCCTCAGGACCGCTGGATGTAGGCCAGTACTCGCGGTACGCCAGATGAGAACCAACCAGACGGGTTGTCAACCAAGGATAGTAATCGCCATCGACTTCACCTCCTAAATAGGCTGGTAGCTCGCTGGGATCACCTGACAACCCCATGACCCAGGTTCGATCCCCAGCGGCGACAACTTACAAACACCAGCACACCATTCAACATCTCCATCATGAGTGGTGTTCACAAAGGTCACAACATTCGTCAAGGACGAGGGCAGCAGTGGTGACACGGCCGCCCATGCTGCCCGGAAGATGAACGGCGCGTCCACGAACATGACTCTGCTGATGTGAGAGATGTGACCCAAGCCAACGGCACTGAATTATCCATCAACAAGGCCTCAACACTAACCACCTACAGAGCTCCTTTCTTGATATCTCCCACGTTGAGTGTAATATTCTTCATCCCAATACCGGCAAAATCATATACTAGACACACACCTAGGCGCACCGATGCAGGATCAGCTAAAGCCGCATCCAAAGCCATCCATGTAGATTTAACACCTGATGTGAAATCTTCGCTGTGCGCAGAAAGGAAAGATACTCACCACAAAGTATCGGTATTGCTGCTGGAGCCATGAACCTCATTCTCACCCATCCCATGGGCCTCCCGTCGAGGTCACGTCCAGCCTTCACGCTGAACCCTGCCGGTGGAGACGTGCGGGAGAAGCGGTTCGGTGAGCTCACCTGCACTGAAGTTGCGTTGTATATCGGATTCTGGTATTTCTCGGATGGGTAGCTTCCTCAGAAGATCTTCATGGCGACGTGCCTAGATGAAAATAGAGAGAATCGAACTCAAGACCTCTACCATGTAAAACGATGATCATGCCAAGTCGACCAATTACACTCTCGCAAACACGATTCCTACCAGAGCCTCTGCCTTATCTACATCAAGATTACGCGACCAAGCCAACTTAAGCCAATCATGCGTAACGTATCTAGCAAAACTCATCGCCGGATATTCCCCCCCCCTGCAAAAAGGCCACCTGCTGGTCAGGTCCAAGTTCTTCAGCCTCTCTCTGAGCTCGCGGATGCATAACAGTTCATCCTGCGTGAGTTCATCGTCGTCCTTGCACAACATAGGTATCTGAGATCAGCGAGTAGAGGGGGGGACACAGTGATACGGTGGGGATGATACTTCGATGCTCGGCATCATCTCGCCGTTCTCCATACGCTCCAATAGAGGTTCATTGAGATCAGACCTGGCAAAAGGCATCGGGTTCGATCCCCAGTGATGACATTTCTAACTACCCAGTGGAGACTGTGTAAAAACTCTGCATAGAGTCGACTCTTCCCCTGAGTGGAGTTCCGACTGGGCTGCCACGCTTAGAGGACGCAGCGGCTGCTATCATCGCATCGCTCGTAGCTCGCCACCTGTGACCAACTATTGCGTCACGCGCCACGAAATTCGGGCATGATTCAATACAGCAATATTTTCCAACGAATTATTCGTGACATTGCTATATTGCTGCTCCCATCTACAGTACAACAATGTTGCTGTCCTCTATGAAACGTAGCTTTATCCTACAAAATCGCCACGTTTATTACTCGCCGACCATTCTTTCGAACACGGCGACCTTTTCAAAAGACTTGCTCATTTGCCACAGTACTTAGCTCTTGCCGCTCGTAAGGTGCTGGACTCCCTCTCTTGCCGCTTGATACCTCTGGTCTTGTTCAAGTAGTTGCAGAGCAGCCAACCCATGTACATGGCGAAGGCGCACAATACTAGTGTGTGGACCTAAGAGTGTCCGTTATCAAATGGATGCCCCTTCGATGCCGATTTTCATCACAGAGGTTATGAACAATTCAACAGATGCGCAAACGCTCGTTATTGTGTTTCCACGAAGAAAACTACTCTACCGTCAATCTCGAGGAGGAATTATTCGCCCGAACGATTATACCCAAACGTGTTATCACCTTATAGACCAACGTGTAGCCATCGTACTCGAGGAAAGGCTGACAGCTGTATAAAACGGTCGAAGATTCGACAGACTTGCCCGAGCAGGAGAGATCAGCCACGAACTCCAGAAGAAGCAAGGGTGCATAACTGACCAACAATACACCATGTATTCAAATTTTCCACCGATCATCGACTCAATTGTATAATGGTTAACGCGTTCTGCTGCTCTACTGCCAACCCCGGTTCGAACCCCCGTTACTACGATAAATATAGTATGCATGCCGTAACCGTCGCCACTCTGCTTTCTCGCATCTCCCAGGCCAACAACACGAAACTCGCACAGCATATTACGATGGACCGAAGCAAATACCTATTCAGCAACAAGTCTGCACGCATGCACATGAGACTGATATCGTCCTAATACATCGATGACGGTGATACGTAGTACATCTCCTGGGCTTTACCATCGGTTATCATAGACACTACTGAATCGAAGATCCCAACCATCCCAACGACCTAAGCAACATCATCAGCTTCGTTCACCCTGACGAGCTTTCAAATTCACGCCGCTTTCCACAACGTACCAGCCATATAAAGGAGTAGGTCCTTATCGAGTTAGTGAGGCGATTGATATCCATATTGCGTTGGAATTCGGCATGAGTAGCCGCTGGTGGTAGAGCCTCCGCTCTATACCCCGCTGAAGACAGCCCTTCGTTGGGGAAATACATCAAAACTACTACTACGACAAGTCACCACTGAAAACATTCATGTGAGGAACTCCAAGAAGACGCAAGAAAGCGAGAGAAAAAGCTAAACTGCTTCCCGGCGCAAACAAACCGTGTCACTAAACTTTGTGTCCTAAATCACTAAATTAGACGCGCGCGCCCCTGTAATCGATTTATGCGCGCCTAAGGTTAAGAAAAAGAACATCCTTCACACCGTTGGATGGATAGACAAACATATAACTCGACTAACCGCTATTTTTATATGCCGTGCAGGCCTTTCCCGCATGAGGTATGATGTTGCTATTACTACCCGCTACCGCTAGATTCCCCTCCGTCAACGTACGTGATATCTTTTGACGAGAAGAGAGAGAGATACGCCTACGTCGGAGAGGCTGCTCAAACCTTCCTCCACGCGAACGGTATCAACGCAAACTGGCTGAACAGTTGTTCGATTAAGTGGGTGAAAAATCTCGCGTGTCAAGACTTGAGACGGAGGTTATATCAACTGCTATTACTTGCCAGGTTCCACAAAGATCCAACAGGGTTAACGACACGTCAGGTTTTTTTTGAGCTGCAAAACCCAACACTATATCATTCACCATGCAGATCACTATACTTCGAACAGTATGACTCATCGAAGATCACTTATTAATGATGCTGATGGGCTTTTCGAGCTTCGGTCGACCACAGGAGTGGTGGAATGTTTGATGTACTTGCACTTGATTGCTCAACTTGGGGACTTGTCAGCGAAACTTTTGACCTGAATTATTGAGTGGAAAGTGAATTCATCGACGCATTACGAGTTGAGTTGTTGGTTTGCGGGTTGACAGAGAAGTAATCGGTCCTAAGCCCCTGATTATTAGATGATCAAAGTTTCTTGGCATCCACGACAATGCATTTCTCCGGCGGAAGAAGCACGGTAGGTAAAAAGAAGACTGAATACCGATGCCAGACCTCTCGAAGACTTTTTCTTTGGAAGGTAAATCAAAATGTAGCTCACAAAACGAGAGTCGAGTTTGTCCAATGAGACATGGACTTGATACAGATCCGCCTGGCCCGCTGAACCCTCTTCGTTAACTTGCTTCCCTTCGGATTTTTGGTTCATCTGTTTCTCTTCGGGTTTCTGGCTCATCTGTTTCCCTTCGGTTTTTGGTTCACTTGTTTCCCTTCGGTCTCTAACGCCGTTTAAACGAAGTCGCGCTATATATCGACTATAAGGGCGCGCGCTGAAATTTAGTGATTTAGGACACAAAGTTTAGTGACAGTGTTTGGACACGCCCTGCTTCCCAAGACGCACTGATGCCCACGCACTGAGCAGAATCAGTTGATCACCCCTGCTTGTAGGAGTAGTTGCGCTCGCCTTATGTCAGCGGCCGTCGACGAGCTGCTGTCTGATGACAACGAATCAGATGATTCCGACTATGTTGATAGTGGGGGAAGTGATACGCATGATAATCATCTAAACACCTTGGATGGGTTCCCTGCAGGCTCAGAGTCTTCATACGGCGATGAAGCTGCAGTAGTAGAAATTGACGAAGACGCGAGAAAAGAGAGAGACCAGAGACTTCAACAAGAATATGCCACAATGAAAGTCAATTTATCACAATCAATTCAGCGAACACATCTGTGATTTCAGGAAGCTCGAAACGGCTTGTACGTTCCTCCCAGTGAACCCCACAGAGACTCCTTATGGGAGAGCTTCAACAGACGACAGGCAACATCAGAACGTCAAAAAGTAAATCGCGTTTTCTCGAGCAGTGATGGATCATCACAGCTCAGGACAGGACCCGACGTGGGTTGGGGGAAATGTTGAGTAAAATTGCCTCCACATCGCTGAAGGACTCGCCGGAAGAAATAGACATCGTTCGCTACAAAAAGGTCAGCATCTTCTCATTCGAGCCGGGGTCGACGCTCTTTTTTGCCAATACGTGGTTGAAATAGGCACATAGGCAGCTACATGTGTTGGTGATAATATGAAAATTCTGGGGAAATTTTGGAAAAAGTATTGTTGGTTTTTGCATATTTTATCCGAATTCATGTATAGATCCCAATATTATATTGGGAAACTTCTCAGCCCAGCTGAGGAAACACGAAACATATATTCCAACACTGCTGATAGCATTTCTCGATCACTCAATCTGTCAAGAATCTAATTTCAGGAAGCACGAGCGTCATCGAATGGCTTAGGAGCGCCAATTGCTGTGGCTAAGGTGCTGGCGGAAGTGCGCAAAGCTGATAAGGTCGAAATTGACTCGCATGTTAAATACGCCGGCCGGACCGTAAAGTAGCATCGATCCGATCATCGTCATCGGTGACTTGCTTTGATCGCTCAGTGTGAGAAGAGTAGTGTCAAAGTCTAGTGTGGAAGGAGCTAAGCATTTACGCAAAGCCCAGAGGGACCTCAAGACGGCTCTGGGGGGCTCTTTGGGCTCGTTGGACGCATACCTAAGGGGCCTCAGGGCTGGACAGGTTAGTCGGTCGATTGGAATGGAAAATACTTCGGTGAAAAATTTGCCATTATGGCAAATTGAATTATGGTTGAATTATGGTACTCAATGAAAAAGTATGAGAAAACAATGGTAATTCCCGAATTATGGGTGAGGAATTCGATCTGAATTTGAAATCAACGATCGGCAACAGATGCGATCAATGAGTGTTTTTTTGTGTTTTTATGCAGAAAAAAATTTTCCATTTTCCCAATAATTTCTAAACCGTAACATAAAATTTGTACAAGGTGAATTCGAACATCTCGGCCGTAGGTGACATCAGTAGAGAAGTCATCAGCCGAATGGAGTCGTTTCAAAGCTTCCAGTGAGCTCGATGGTCTCTTCGAGAAGGACCGACGAGACGGGTACCTTCATAAAAGGGCCTTCCTTGAGGCCGCTGATACCCGGGAGTAGCGTGGTGACTTGTGGGAAGGAGTTGTTATTCACTTTTTAGATATGACAAGAGGAAAGAGGCGGAGAAGAAGGCGCGTCAAACAGCGCAGCCGAAAGTTTGATCTTTTTATCGGGCCTGGGTGGTTGAGTTTAGTAGTTGGTTGAATATGCTATCGGTGGGAATCGAACCTTGGACATTACCCTCACTTCAAAGATCAGTGTGATATTGATAACGCTGATTCTTAGAGATGGGAGAAGTACAACGAATGGGAATTTAACGCCACGACGTACGGATGAAAGCAGTAGGTGTGGCACGGTGGAACGACTTGAACAAGACACTTATTCGGAATCAGTTTGGGCACCTCCCGCGCTGCTTAGCATAGGCCCACATTTTACACTAATTCGACACCTTAAGGATATATGGTATCAAAGGAGAACTCATCAGTGTTCACTCCTTTGCCGAGTGTGCAGGACCCGGCATTCGCATGTTTCTCAAGGAGAAACTAAGCCGAAACGTGGATGTTGTATTTTCTGTTAGTCTGTGTCTTGAAAATTATGGAAAATCTGATTGTGAATTCGTTCACAGGTGGTTGAAAGTATTAATAGCAACACGAAGAGCCCAAGTGTTGAAACCGACTTAGGAATTAACAATCATGGGGGGTTGTGCTTTTCAAAAGGAGCGCAATGTTGTCTTCTGAGAGTCGAAACTGGAAGGACTTTCCTCCGCTTAGAATCAAGCATTCGCCGGCCTTGACCACTCTAGGGTCGATACCGTTGTTCGAAACCTGACACTCACATATTCAACAAAGACGAGGCCGATGGTTACTTCAATTCCACCACGAAAAACGTAGAGGAAGGCCTCGTTCTTCTCGATGAACTCATCGTATTTCGTCTCCCTCGTGCCTGACGACGGAATTCACCAGGAGCTTTCGAGAGCTTCATTTCTCACCGGCGCCAATAACGATGACTGTAAAGCCTTTCTCTGGGTGGTCGTCTCCGAAGAGGCTCAGTCGCGAGTCGGGTTTTGAAAGGTCTTGTTCGTGCGCTTGCAACCAATCTTTCAGGGAGAACGGACTACGGTTTGAAATCAAGCTTTTTCTATGCTGATGGTGGTTACCGCGGAACGCTCGTCTGACAGTCCTGGCGTAGTGGAGGATTTGCTACCACCGACCCAACCGTCGGTCGGCCTGTTGCAAATGCTTCAGAGGCTTTGAATTCCTGCTAGGACCTATCATACGCTCGCTCAAGAAGGCCTACCTCAACCACTGGTACCAAATCTCGACCGAGATCGTCACAATAGAAGTACCTGAGCTCGGAAGTCTGCTCAGTAGATCACCATAGACCTACTTCTCCCACAGGATTTCATCACACTTGTCAAAATCTGTGTACCACCGCAAGGCGTCAAACTCTTTTCCTTCCACACGAGCTCGCTCAATAACAAGCCCCTGAGCCACGAGATATCATCACTATGCTAGCGAGAGGAATTTGTTACTAAACTGCCGGCCTCTGGACGTTGAGGCGAGTGTGGTATTCTACTGGGGAGGAGAAAAACTTCCCCTTCCTTAATCTCAACGACCCTACAGAGGAAGACCTGTCGTTATCTGGTATTAAACGGTTTTTACTGTTTCTTTCCTCGTTCAATTATCGGTAATTGCATGTTGCCTTTGAGCTGCCAGAAGAACTCTGGGCTTTCGTCCAAGTGAAAATCAGTTCTAGTGTTGGGGCCACCGACGAACATGATCGACAGATGTTGTTTGTGCATGAGTTTGTTGCATATGGGTGGACAGAAGCTCACTGAGTGTTGCTTGACCCACTCCTCTACGCATACTGGGCCTTCTGACCTGAGGTCGTTGGTCATTGTGACGAGGCCAACGAGAAGGCTGATGATAGGAGTGTTTTAAGTAAAGACAGTGTGGTAAAATTTGCGCATGGTCAACCACATGTGTTGGTGACAGTATGAAAACTCTGAGGAAAATTTGGAAAATCCTTGTTAGTGTCTGTACACTAGTCGTATATATTCTCCCAATTCGTATATAAAATTTTATGATTAGTGAGGAAAATTTGGAGCTCAGCTGAGGAAAGCGAACATTTTTTGCAGCACTGAGTAAAGAATAATGGTCCAAGAAAATTGCGGAAAAAACCGTCACCAGGAATCGAACCTCCGTCAAGCCCTATAACAACGAAGAAAGCGTGTAACGCGCTTCGTGCGAGTGCGGGGTCGTTTAATGAACCGATTTCGAAACTCAGAATCGATTCCAAAATCGCTTCTTACACGTACAATACGATGTTAGAATCGATTCTGAACTCCACAATTGATTCAATGAACATGACGCACAGAACGGAATGTCGGAAGTTTTTCATAAGGATGTTGAGCCGTCAGTGGTAGCAGAACAACACGGCATACCAGTAGCTTCATCCTCTCCAAACGCCAACTCTTAACCCCAATAGGGTTACCCCATACCATCTCTTACTATCCAACTCAGCTGGACTTAACACCAAGCATCACGAGAAAGAACATATCGCTGGTTTCAGGGTTGTAAGAATTTAGTACGGAATCCAAACAATGGATCCACAACAGCAGCGTGCCTTCGACCTCATCATACGAACTCTCACATCTTCTTAATGCCCATCGTATCGCGTTCTATCGGGCATCGCTGGTGCTGATAAAACCTTTCCATTAAGGGAGATAGTAGCCGAATTGCGAAGACTACACTTGAGTGTGCATATCCTGACATCGATGGGAATGGCAGCTATGCTCACGTGAGGGTTCCGTGTGTTCATGACATTCTTCTTCTGGCTGCACTTCGACCACGAGCATGGGAACGCCATAGATAATAGCTACTTCCGAATTCCGACAGCCCTCTCACAGAGGATGGTCAAAGGACTCAGGCGTGCCGCCAGAGCATTAGGGAACTATGTCATGGCCTTCGACGAACTAACAACCTGTGCGACACAGTTCTCCGTGTTACCGATATGGCAGTCATTGCCATTGGCAATGAGAGAGCTCCCTTATCTGGTTCACAGGAGGACTTTGGTATCGAGATGCACCCGTATTTTACGTACAACGTGAATTGCGTGAAGTGAATGATAGATTCCACACTTCGCGAAAAAACGCCAGTGTGGAGGGCCATTTATGCCAAACTATCGGAGATAAGCAGAGCTCTCTTTCACAGCAGATAACTATGTAGAATCTACACTGTCATGAACTTGCTGGGAACCCGGTTGGGCGCTAGTGTGGACTCCATGGGGGCTCTAGTGGGTCTGAAGTTCGAGGCGAAGCTGATTGGTCACACCTGGAGCCATTCTTGGAAATGACTATGTCTCATCCCACTAGCATTGATTGATGCTGATAGGCATGTCCCTTTACAATGTCCTCCTTGCTACATGCTCCGTCATTACAATCTTCCCCCACGCCCTAGACTGGCTCGACACTCTGCCCTATGGCACACAAACGACGGTAGATTGGCATATGTTAGCGGACTCTTTTCTGATGATCTCCGTCATTCGTGGGCAAGATCTCCGTCAGCTAACCTATTATGATCGCTACTACGTCGTCTTTCTGAACATCCGATTTGATTCAGGTTCATTTCAGTCGCGACGGTGTCGAAGTAGCGTCCTCGGCCAGCACAGCCAGCATCCAGCTCTACGCCGGGGCCAACTACACGTCATTCGCCTTAGCCGCATCGTCTGCCTCGGACACTTTGACTTTCACACAAGAGCCGCGACTTCGAATTGTGGACAGTAGCCTTTGTGGTGGCCTGACCGGTGAGCCAGACCAGCGTAAAGACAAGCTACTGTCTCGATTGGCAGGTGCTGATGCTGCCGACTATGCCGCAAACTGTGTACTCACGAGCATCGACTGCTCCCTGTTACAGTCATCAGGAGGCTCAGTTTCGGGTATAACTCTCGGTCGCCCATCAGCCTTAGCCTATGCCTACAGGTCCCGCATTGATTGATTCTAGTCCCTTGTTGAGCGGGACCACACCTCTGGGAGCACTACTATCTGTGGTATCGTCTGCATCTAGGTGGGCTCGCTCTTAGTGTTATTGACTACTTCCTGCTATTCAGGAGCGACTACAATGGGAGTGCGCCAACAGTGTTTCTCTCGGGCGGCGTCTTTCGATTTTGTTTTTCGAAAGACTCTTCCTTCGACTCGTCGTCTTACGTTATATTCCCCCAGCTCATCGTCAACGGTATCAGCCGTTCTGAGTGTCTCCTGTCGAGTAACTCTCAGTGCTTGGCTGAGTATAAAGTCCACTGCTTCGGCTTGAGAGGTGCTCCTTGCTGCTTCAACATCCAGTCTCTGGAGTTGGCAGGTCAGACATCTCACACGAGTGGCGGCTGTACAGTGGCGTATGATGGTTATGAAGGCAATCTGGGCATCTTCAAGTGGACTCTTCCTTACGCTCTGCTCGATAGTGGTAAGAACTCCCAGCATACTGTGGTGGACTCATCGGCCCACACGCAAGGTTCTGTTATACCTCAACAATGTGGAACAGCAGAGGCTTCAGACGTGTTATGTCCGAATGGCGATGCATGCACGGGAGGTACGGAACACTTACTGATGTTCGATAAGGAACAGTCAGGAAACTACGTCGCAACGCCGGACGCGGCTACTGCATATTTATCTGCTACCTTCAATGGTGTCTCGTCGAAGCTTGGAACGACGACTCATCCATGGGGCCAGGGCAACACCTTCGGGATCTGCTACTGTCCTGCTCACCAGGGCTGTGGGAGCTACACCGACTTCATGCAACAGGTCGATGCTTACTATCATGTCCCTTCTAGCTTGAGACACTTGACAGGTTGGGACACTCTTACTCTGGACGGTCAGCGTCTGCTCACCTGTTGATTCAAATTGTACGAACACCTTCACAGGCGTCACTGGAGGCTTCCCATTCAACATTGCGGTAAAGATCGCCGCTACTGTTGAACGGACATAACGACTAAACTTAGGTCAACTGCCCTCCCTTGGGATGCGACGGTATCAATTCCGTGGACTCCAGGGTCCGTATAGTTGACCATAGCCATGATACTGGGTGGGGACTGTCGCTATAACTCCATGCCGAATACGTTGATCATCACATTGGCTTGCGAGTTTGCTTTAGATTACCTAGCACTGACGAGGCACATCACTGCAAGGTGGCTAACGAGACCAGTGATCTCGCAATCTCTCATTGCTTTTCACCGACCAACTGTAGTCTAACTGGAGCGCTGGTCAATAACAAGAGGATTTTCGGAGGCTTCTCAATCACCAGTATGAACTCTCATCGCTGCCTCGATTCTGATAACGGCTTCAGACTGGGTATCATACAGTGGCAGCAAGCGATACGATGTGTGTTATTGTGATAGTCAATGTGGAGCTACCGCCAACTGGCACAAGGTCAGATGCTCCCACTCTCTGGGGCGGCTGTTGACTGCATCTTATCAAGGTCGGAGAGATCGACTGGGATCCCCTCCAACTAGTCCAGGAGCCAGGTTCCCTAGAGGCTCCAATAGCTCGATCCCAACCAGGCAAGCTTGCGGTTAGTACAAAAGCTGACTCGACTGTGAACATCCCCTTCGGCCTTCATGCTGAGGGCAACACCTATAGCCCTATCATAGGAATCAGGTGAGAACCTCACGCCCCTCCAACATAATGGATGGCACTCCTCGTCCATTTTATGGTCGTTTTACATTCATATCATCAACGGCTAGCATAGTTGGTACCATGTTCCAATGGGAGATCCTCAATAGTAACAAAAAGGGGATTTTGAAAAAATGGATAAATCATAAATATAATAATAATTTGGCATGATAATAAACAATAACATAATATAAAATACAATAACATAAAGGTAATCAATACCCTACAATGAGAGTGTACATCATTTTGCAGTCGGTGACGAATTGGAACCTTAGAGCTTCATCATAGCGTACTCCTCAACTGAGGCTGATATCCATCGGAGCATAGACTTTCCTGGTGGTCCCACACAGCGAAGCAGATCTCCACGACAAGGCTCTCTGTACGCCTCGTTCGGGGATCAGGTTCGACCCAACATATTCCCTCGGCTACGAGGACTGCCAGAATAATCCCTTCGAGATGGGCGGGATAACTCAAGCAAACACATTCGCCTTGTACAGAGGTCAGCGGGCTGGCAAAATCCTCGGGGGGAAAGCATCTCAGGTGTTCAAATCTCAAACGTAACCGTTTTCGACGCCGGGACTACCTCTAACACAATAACGTTGGACTCATCTGGACCGGCGGTTGTCTGCTTCTGTCCGCTTGCCGATAGTGAGGGATGTCGCGATCGATCCCTCTGGAGGGCGGCCTTCCGGTGAGCCTCACTATGCGGCCCCCTGTGAACTGAAAACTTCAGGTTCACAGTTTCCGGACCGACCGGAGTGAAGAACTTCGTTTTTTCAGCCCATGTCCCTGTCAGATTTGAGCTGGAGGGCCATGGATTGTCTTCTGCTCCTGGTTACCTTAGACTCATTCAACCAGCAGAGAACTGTAGCTCCAATAATGGTGGGGTCTCGAAGAGAGCGTCTGTCGGGGAGTTGACGCTACCAGGCAATCCAAACGCCGCTCTTTATAATGTATACATTGGCTGCCCTGACCAGTGCTCGGCTGTCACTGATGTTGGGGGTTCCGAAAGCAATATTCTACTCCAAGGCCTGGACACGACACATGTCCGGTAAGACGGCAGTCGAATAGTTTTGTAAGCACTAGAAATTATAGTTATATAAACTTAATTTCATCTTGTACATCACAACAGAATACGATGTGCACACTCACAAGCTTCTATTCCTATTGCCAGATGTGACGAGAATAACGACAACTGCGATGCGGTCTACATCTCGTCAATCACGGTTGTCTCGGCCTCCACTACAAGAATCGATTTCACTGGAGATCCTGGGCTACAGGACGGCGATGTGCTTGAAGATTTTTGACCGACTACGTTGAACATATGTCAGGTTATTTCCCTTGGTGAAAATATAATTCCGGGGGACCATATTACGGCGGAAGAATTTGATCTTTTGAAAGGCCGAGCGAGGTGTTGAGCCCATCTCTCAGTGATATCGATTCGTCGAGTAGATTTGCCGATAACTCTGCCTCCTACCTGGTTGGCCACTCTGTTACTGTGTCGGTCGACGACCCCTCAACAGTGACCGTTCCACTCGGGTGGTCTAGAAGCCCAACCCCCGAGATTGTGAGCCGAGCATTGGCCTGTCGCAGATCTTGAGACAACTCCCAGGTTGTTGTTAAGGACAGCCTCAGTCGGGGTGGGTTATGGTACTCCCACTCACATGCAGCTACTAATGAGGAGGTCGTGAGTCATTCATCCATCATTGACGCCAAGTTGTGCTACTCTTATGGTGTGGAGAACAATTATCACGCCCATGTAGGCCGCCATCGACCGACCACGGAGCGGCAACACCTTTTAGGTTGGTCGAGTGACATTCGTAGAGCCACCCCGAATGGCTGCATCGATCTTCCTCACAGCTCGTCAAGTCGAGGCACGAGCACCAGTGATTGTCGAATTCAGGACAGGTGGGGATCCTGTCACCAGCCCTATATACGGAACACAGCAAGGGGCGACTCAGCTCATAGTCCAAGTGAGGACTATTCACAAGTGTTGGCATCGACTCAACCATGCAGGTGCAGGACACTAGTGTCTTCGATCTGCTCATATCGACCGACAAGGCTTTGACTTTCGAGGAGGCCACTTCAGGAGGTATAGAGAGGCATCCCATTCTATATCATGAGAATGCTAACAAAACATCCACACTGTGGATCGGCATCATGGGCGAAGACAGAGTTTGAAAATTCTTCATAAATCCTTTAGATCCTCATACTCTATGTATGTTCTTAGAGGACAATTTCCGAGTCTTCTGTGTAGAAATTTCCTATGAAGGTGCTTTGTCGTGGAAATGGAATTTCCCTAGGGTGGAAATGGCCGAAATATCGCTGAGAAAACCAAGATCCATCACTCTTGAATTCGATTGTTAATATCAATGCAAGGCTCGACGAAAATACCGTAACGACGTAAACTTCACGTTGGTGCCACTATGGCACGGCGTAAGCGAATACGAGACTCATGGCTCCCAAATGGCCGATCGGGACAATGGAACTCGAGTGCGATATCGATACGTTGCTCAACTTATGACTGTCGAATTATCCAACGACCATCAGCCAGACATGTATCCCCATTAATACGGCCAAACACTTTCAGACATAGATTCCACAGCTGATCGGATGAGTAGGGCTAAACAATCAGTGTGTGGACAAGTCATAAGAGAGATGTGGACTGATGAGGCTAAGGGATTTCCTTTGCCGAAAGGGTGATCCTTAGGGGCTGCGATCTGCTCTATCTGAAGTCAAGGTGCTGGTTCCGAACGCACGGGCGTAAACGTAACATAGGCATCGTTTTTGATAGCAGAAATGGTCTTGCAGACAACAGCACGTATCAACTGGTAGTTATCCTAACTCGACAAGCAACACGATCACGTAGTTATTCTGCATTAGGTCTTAAATGCAGTGGCTCATGAGTCCATCTTGGGGAGCGGCGATGCTGCTCACCTGTGGATATTTGCTATGGACAACGTCGTCGTTAACCCATATACAGTGCTCGAACTCGGGCAAGCAGGTGAGGCATGCAGAGACTCCTTATTCTATACCACACCTTCGTAACTTCGCGATCCTCGAGAGTTTGTTCCTCCTCAGAAATTAGTCCTAACAGACCGCCGCTACAGCGTGCTCGATCGACCGATCCGAATTGGCCGGCCCAGGGCGTCTTCGACGCCCAAACCCCAGCCTTGCTTTATAACCCCGGTGACTTGAGTATCTCCAGAGAAATCATACTCAGCATTGCAGGTGCTGTGCACCTCGCCTGTTCTCATATATGAACTACGGTGGTCAGGCGAACGCAGCGGCCTCGGGCCTATTGTTGGCGGTAGTCACCTATGGCTCTATCTTTGGCCTCTTACTTCGTGGAGAGCCGCCGCCTTCGATCAGAACAGAACAGCTCAAATTGGTCGTTGTGAGGGATGGTAGCACAGCAGCAGGCATGATCAGAAGCTTAGTCAGCCGTAGGTGTTACCCTCCTGATGGCATGCATTGTGGGAGCCTCAATGGGAGATGCTACTTGGAAAAGATCAGCAGCACTGACGCGGCCATTAAAATCATCTTCCCAGATGATGTCAGTAGCTCACTTACCACTTACATCATGTCACCTATTCAGATGACGCCTTTGAAAGGCGACATACGCTACACCCTGTCAATCAAGGCACTGCCTCTGCCGGTCGATGGGGTCGGCTGGTTCCCTGGTAGACTGGGAGGCGCTGAACTAACGAACGTCGAGGACGAATACTCTCACTATACGTTGGTTGAAGGCGGACTACAGTGAGCATACCGCTCTTCTATCGATTCCTCCCGGCCCGTTGAGCTGTTATGGCTTCCGAGGTCGTAGGCGAGCTGAAGGCGCTCAGGTATAAGAAGCCAGCCACGGGCCAGCTGTGGGGTAAGGCCCATATTATTCTCGATGACAATGATGTTGTCAATGCCCGTCCATTTAAAGGAGAGCAGGACAATGTCCTCTACATATTTGTAGGAAAATACCTTACTGGTTCAACCTTGGCTTCACTATGTTTTTGATGCTCCCTCAGCTTTCCTTTATGGCGACCTTGCACCGACCCTATCAAGCACTGAGCTCCTATTCAACCATTACAATTTATCTGCCTGACGGTTACACGTGCCTTGATGTACATAGGACTGGTCTGAAAGGCATTTTTTCATGCGCGTTTCTCTGCAGGTCGAGGCAATGCCGGAAAGTGTCGAATTATTGGGTTCTAACCCACAAGGGCGAGGAACCCTCTCTGACAGGCAATGGGCGTATGAGAACAACCTGTGTATTTATACCCTGGAGCCAGGTCCCGCGACAGTGTCGTGATTGGACGAAGTTGACAACTTTCGTAGGTGAACTCATCCCAGCGGCAAGTCAAATTTACTGCAAGTTTAGAGTTGATAACCCATCGACGGCACTGCCTGTCACCGATGCTGCAAACACGTGGTCAGCTCGTATGAGCATTGCCGACCGAAACGGAGAAGTCTGAAGACGTTCTGTAATGAGGCTAGGTTGTCCTCTGGCAGGCGTTCGAGTTCCCACCATTTCCATTCGTTGACGATGGGTTAGACCGGATGAGAAATGTTGGAGTGTTGGGAGTCCTCACTGACGTCGTCGCTAGTCCTGGTAAGCGTCGTCGATGGTGATGTGGGGCGCTCCTTTGTTTTTGCTAACACACTAAGCTTCGTTATCAAGGGGGCATTCAGAGCGGCACGCCATCACAGCTAATATGAAATTCCGCAGTCGGATGGCAAGCTATGCGGCAGTATGTTCCCGACTTTAGGTAGCTTGCTTCGCTCCGCTCGTCATGAAATGACTTTTTTCTTCACGACTGACCTCAGCAATGGTCCTGGAGGATTCGTCATCGTTACGGCACCGAGTGGAACTGGATACTCTTTGACTCAGGTAGGAACGAGCTTAGCTACAGGTGACGAGCATCGATTCAGGGCGGAGAGAAATGCATGGTGGGGGTTCCGAACCCGGCCCACTTCCGTCGAGGCGGTGGGACGCTTCCTCTGCCCACTGTAGTAGATTGCACTACACCAACCAACAATCAAGCCATGTTGGAGGTTAGTTGTGACCTTCCCATCCAACATATGTATGGTTACAATCCTGTTAGCTACGATATGAGCTACTAGCATACCAACGTTACGCCTTCTCTCTGTGGGTAACCAACCCCGATACAATCAATTCGGACTGGACGAATAACTATTGGCAAGTAAAAGTCAAAGGGAACCTCCGTTCCCGGGCAACTCCACCTACTTCAGCTGCATACTGCGCTGTCGAGCAAAGCATTGGTCAGCGGCACGTACGGCTCGGAGGCAGTCCGGATGAATGTCCGAGGAGAGACCACGGGTCTGGCTGCCGGACGAACCATGATGTATGATGTATACAATGCTGAACTGGGAAGGGTAAGGGAGGCTTGGATAGTCCTCATCCACCTTAGTGGGCGGTGCTGCTATCTCCCCAGCACCGAGCACCAAAAATGTAGAGCACGATAGGGGTAGACTGGGTTCATGCGTAGGAACCGACCGAGATCATAACTCAACAGCGCTAGCGAAATGCATGAAATTGCAAAGGGAATATGTGCGAGGTCAACTACGCGTGTTGGTAAAAACAAGGAAACTCTTATCGGTTCTTGTGCACTAAGTGCACCGCACTTACACAGTAAATCGTATAGGAATTTCCGTGATGTAGTGGGGAAATCAAACATATATTCCTACACTGTCGGATTCACGTTTCAGACTTTCGAAATAGCTGTATCGCTGCCACATCTTCCCTACACACTAACAATGACGACCTCTGAAGTGGTTGTCTCTCGACTGGTTTTCACAACGACGGTCATCGTGGACATCAGGCTCACAGCCCCGGCAGACTTTCAGTGGGACCAACACGCGGTCATCTCCTTGCCGTAGTTACTGTATACATAGGTTCGTATCAGATCAAGCGTCATTTACAGAGTTAGCGAACGGCAGCACACTATCCATGCCGCGATCAGACTTCTCGGTCCTTGGTCAAGGCTCTCAGGTCTGTTGTAGTTGACCGTATTGGAATTCCACTGTATCGTCATCGGATTCGATCACGACCCTCCATCAAGATCTCAGGTATACCTTCCAGAAGGCGAGTACCTTGCGAACGAAGTGTATGGCTTCTCCTGCATGATCAAGGTGAGTCCTGTCTTCGATCCCAATCGATCGAATTTGTCGAACCACTCGCCGTTGAAGATGGAGGAAGCCTTTCAGCAGTGTGGTGATATACGTTCGCTTCCCTCAGCTGAGCTCAGGAGTTTCCGCAAAAGTTACACACGCTACTTTGCTTGTTATCACTAACTTTGCTAGCAGTATGCAGAAACCAACAATAATTTGCCAAAATTTTCCCACGACTCTCATATTGTCGCCAACACATGTAGTTGAGCGTATGCATATTTTCCCACGCTGCCTCTTAGTGTTGCTATCTTTGCCGTGTAGTTCCCCGACTTCGTCTCGGCATCTGGTCCGAACACCTTCTATCTGGAGACGTCTATAAGCTCCGACGGCTTGGAAAGCCGTCATTATGGTCAAGTTGTTGATGCTCCTCTAGTTCGAGTTATCACCACTTTGTATCTTAGCTTCACGACCAGTGTCCTTCAGAAAGTAGCCGATCCCCTGACGGAGGCACTTTAGCCCTGTCCATCTCAGTCTAATATCATCGCACTTTTCTTCACTCTGTCGACATCCATTCGTAGCGACACCGATGCAGGGCTACTCATTGAAGTACCGTATGGATTGAAGCTGTTGGACGCATGCACACCGAGAGGGATGACGGTCGAGCTCACCTGTTTGGTAGGCCGCCACTCGGGGCTCTCTGAGCATTGCTATCATCAGCAGTGTATTTAGGATGAAGGATGCGTTGGAAAGCATCTGTAGCAGTGTTGGAATACATTTTCGCTTTCCGCAGCTGAGATTAGGAGTTTCCATACTCATTATAGGAGTTTACATATGAATCTTGTAGAAATGTACAGGACCCAACAAGACTTGCAGAATTTCCTCATAGTTTCCATACTGTCACTAACAGATGTGGTTGACCATGTGCCTACTCTTCCCACACTAGCCTTTAGTTTTCTCATCAGGTATCATACTTCCTCAACGGAGCGGAAGTTGGAGTCGACACGCCAGGCGGCCGCCTATCACTGCGGATCCGCCCAGCCACGGGAGTCATCCCTGCTGGGCCCAATAAGATCCTATTGGACTTCGTCAATCCGTCTGAATTGTTCCGCAACACCCCTAGTGGAAGCACGCCTTGCGGTATGACTGAGTGTTGGACCTTGCGGTCGTTGCTCGATACTGAAGGCAGTCGGGAAGATTGGCGCAACATGCTGGAGAAGGAAGCCACAGTAGAGGCGTTCGACATCCACGATGAAATCGCCTCCGCTGAAATCATACCGGACACCATTGGAAGGAATGACAGACCGGGCTTTGCAAATATTGTGGCGCTATCTATTCGCATGGAAAACGACGTAACTGAATCTCCCACCATGACAATCAGAGCACCTCTAGGGTCCGTCTTCCCACAGGATTGTCTTGGGGGGATTCTTATCAACTTGGAGGAGTTCCTCACTCCCAGCCAAAAAGACAGCGTAAAAATGTTCGAGCCAGGAGTCGAACCCACGGCCTGTATCAGCGACGAGCATTTACTCAGAGTTGAACTACCTGGAGGCCTCAGGGCTGGGGTCATATACGCCTTTGCAGTGAAGGTTCGGAATGCACTAGAGGAAACCGAGGAGGAAGGGTTCTGGTCTATCGAGTATGCTAAGGAGGCTAGTGCCCCTATCCCAGCGTTCAGCCTGTGGGTCGTATCTGGGATCGTAATCACCCCAACCCAAACCACTCGTCGTATACTGGCCTCGTCGGCAGAGGCAACGACTGACATCAACTATGTCACTATTGATTTCAAAACTCATCATGAGATAAGACCTGGTGGGAGAATTCGAATCGTAGCTCCGAGTGACGGAACAGAGGAAGGCTCCTTTAAATTTATTCGATATACTCTGGAATGTGTTATCACACTACAGCAAGTTAGTGGTGACAGGGGACAGCTGACCACACTGTGGGGATCTGATGATGTCACTTGTATAGTAGAGGAAGATGCAAAGAATGTTGCTAACGTCAACATCATAAGCACGACCAAGGTGGCCCAAGCTCCTGTCAATGTAGCTCCCAGCAGTCGGCCCGTTCAGTCCATCCGTAGCGGTCTCCTTTATCGAGTTGTTGCGGTCGTATACAACCCACAGCAAGCGAACCAACAAGCGGCTATATGGGGCATCGAGACCTACGACAATACGTGGGGTTAGTGCGACAATCGCTTTTAGAGGAAATAGGCAGGTTCACGAACGTTGGGGGAAACCCTGACGTTTTCAATTCCGAGGCAGCACTACTGGACGCTGGCACGGCCACGGGCTTCCCGATCACCGTGGACCTCTATCGTTTTCTTATTACAAAAGGGGACGGCCCACAGGTGGGAGTCTCGAATTGACGACATATTATCGCACATTTTGATCAGTATGGAGGAACCGAAGTCGTGGGTATTCAATTCCTTATAGTATTACAGACTGTGCTCGAACCCGGCGATGTGGTCCGCCTCAAAGCGCCGACGACGTTCAGCTTAGTACCCTCTGGCACGACGATCATGGGAGAGCTCGTCGTCCTCCTCCTCTTAGGAAGCCTTGGACAGCACTCAGAGAGCCTGTCGCGGCTTTTCGTGGATACAGGACCCGCCGCCTGAGGCCACAATGGAGTGTGATGGAGCTGTACTGACTTTGAGCTTCGACGAGCGTTACGGCTGTGATACACAAGTACGGCGATAGGATTGACTGCTCCAGAGTTCATCACGCAACTCTACGTTGCTGTTGTTGTTTCTTCAGCAATCGTGCTTGAATGAGATAAGCTTCATCTTGAGTACTATCAACCCGCTGGAGACTCCCCCACCTGAGGATAACTTCTGGGTTGTCCAACATGAACTGCCGACTGGTAGCCTTGGGAACTCCATCACCTTAGAGCCATCCTGTAGGTGCAGTAATGGCCTCTCGATCCGTTCAAGGCTGGCAGGTGTTGCCCTCATTTCTGTCTGCAACTGTCGACCTCACAGGTGCGCTGGTGGATATCCTACTATGGTGTGGGATTATACTTAGGAACCTCTGATGCCGCGAACAGCCAGTCGGGGACGGAGATTGTCGTGTCGTTCATGCCTGCGTCGACTGCTGATCTTGTCGAACTTACGGTAGGAGCTGCAGAACACCACTCCGAATGAGGCCAGGTGGAAGGTCCTCCAGCCGAGTGGCTTTGACCTTTCCTCTGCCCTATCGGTGAGTGCCAATCATGTGGTTGTTGAGGCCGCGGCGACAAGCATAAAGATTCGGGGGGCCTTTGTCGCTCCTCCGAGCACCAATCCGACGGAAGGTTCCACTGTCGTTCGAATCTCTATTTGACGCGTCGATCGTCAGAGAGCCGTGTCACGCTTCGCCTGAGAGGGATGGTCCTGGGGTATCCCGGTGGCTTGACCAGATGGCAACTACGGACATTCTATGCTGAGGCCTTACAGGACTCGCAGAGTATCTATGGTTTCCTATTGCCTGGCAAGGTAACGTTGGGGAGAAGTAGCGTCATTAAAGTCATGGCTTTCCAGTTCGAAGTCCTTGACGAAAGTATAGTGGCTGAGTACCAAGGAGACTCTCATTCGCTCTTATCGAGCCTTCCAATGAGGGTGAGTCTGCGCATGACGTGTGTAAGTTCACTGCAGTCTCGTAGGGCGGAGAGGTCGCAACGGTCCGACTGACCTTTTCATTGTCGATGCCGCTCTCTGGTGGTGATCTCTTGATCGTGCACGCTCCAGCTTATACGATTCTGGCAGCAGCAACTACATCGGAGATACCACAAAGGTAGACCTCTTCCGGAAGCTCGGCCATTCGAGGAGTTCACCTCCTATCAGTCTCGGCCGGAGCCCGTCCATTAACATTTCCACTGAGTCCGCTCAGCAACTGCAACTTCGAATACTGGACACTGGCAGCTCCCTACATGGTAAGTATCTCGAAAGGCTTTTCTCTGAGATTAACTTGCCTTGGATTAAGATTTGAATGCTGCGATAATCCAACCCTTACCACAAGAGACTATCCTCGCCAACGAAAAGTACATCATCAGTATGGAGGTCGTCACTCCATCGGAGATCGGTGGCGGCGAGAAGTAGTCGCTGTTCCCCTTGAAGTGGTCACTTGTTGATTGCTAGTTGGCTTCTCGAGACCTGGACGGATGAACCCCAATATAGCGTCGCTCGACAACCCAGCAACACCAATGATCGAAGCATGCCTTCGTTCGCTCTAGCCTATAAGTACTTGTTGACTGTGCGGACTGCCAGGGCAACGCCTACTGCTGAGGCTGTGGTAAGGTTATTATCACTTCAGCATGTTCCAACACTGCTTCTGTAGATCACTATAGTCGCTAACCTGAAGATGTCGCCTATTGAACAGCTGCTATTGACTGCTCCAGCAGGTGAACTCAGCGTATTGTGGCTGGGTTTGATCTGATGTAGGCTTCGCATTCACCTCAAACTGCCTTGTGGCGACGACTACCACTGTGGAGGAAGAGACTGGCTCGTTGACAGGAGAGTCAACGGTGACCACCCGAGTGATACCGAGTGAGGGAGATGTCATCAGGTTAGTTCGGACTGGTACACCTCTGGTCCGATCTGCCCTCAGATGCACGCCATCGGCGGAATCAGCGAGGCTCATGCTGGCGGATTTCGCCTGTTGTGGGTTGGCAGACCGCATAACCGCTAGATTGAGGGCAGGCGACTCCGTGTGAATGCCCGGTTGATACTCTTTTTCTCTTCAGGTGACCTGCCCCGAGGTTCTATCTCAATCGAGACCGTACTGGACCATGCAAGGTCTCGCCCAGCAAAGGTGAACATTTCTCTGCAGGGCAAATATTTTTACTTCTTCGTAGCGATACCGGTCTCGAGGATATCATAGGTTGGGGCGTAGACTTCACTGGTTTCGATATCACTGCCATGTCTCATGCGCGATTCCACTACCCTAGAGTGGTACGAGCAAGTACCTATCTAGGGGTGGAGTTCACGACGACACAAAGGCTGAGTGGGGGAGGGACAGTGAGAGTAGCTCAATGGCTCGGGCAGCTGACATTGTATCAGATCCGCGTGGATCTGCCGTCCTCGGCAACAGCAACATGTGTATCGTTCGCGAGGCTGAGCTTGATAGAGAGTGAAGACGGTTGGGCTGGATGTGAGATACCTCTTGATACGGTGGGTCGCCTGGGAGGCTACCAGCGACCCCTGCACACCCTCAGAACAGTGCGGTCGTAATCTTCAATACGACGTTACTACCTGGCACTTACTCGTTTGTCTTGGGGCTAATGTTGACCAGCATTATCTCCTCGACGGAGTACTTCTCTCTCTATCTTGTTTCCCGTCAAGGCACAGTTGTGGACGCCGCTGTTAGGGTGAGCACATAGTGTAGTCAGGACCGGCAAGTGTCTTTACTCAGATACCTGCTGTCGCAGCGATCCCTGGGTTGATCGTCAGCCCCCAACCTATTGTTTTATCGGCAGATGGAATAGCCAATCTACCTGATTCTGTGTTGTTACTCGATGAGACGATTGCTGAAGTTGTTGGCAAAAGTTCTGGAACAGACAATCTGACGTGTAACCATTAGCATTGAAGTCTTCCCTCCCAAGTCCATGGTTTTCCAGATAGCAGTCCCTTCGACACTGCATCTGGTAAGCCCTTGCCTGGTCGAATCATCCAAGTGACGTTGCCTCTTGATGTACAGGCCCAGGTGCTGCAGACCGGCTGGTCATCGTCTTACTATCGCAAGTTGCATGTTTTAGATACCCGCAAACCCTGCAGTCAGTCGAGTGCTTGTCACATGCCCCAAAGGGTTCGGCCATGTCATCACATTGGATGCGCCTCTCGCCCTTCAAGTGCGTAGAGTTAGGCTCACAGTGCTACTGATGATCGTGTTAGGTTCAACTTGAAGGGTTCGTAACCGCAGATGAAGGCTATGTGGCACTGACTGATGATGACACGTCGTTTGCTGTAATTCTTAGCCAGAATACTTCGATGAGCGCTGGGAGGTGAGCGTGCCTATGCGTCTTATCGTCGTGTATTTTGCACAGATACGGAGTGACATTCCCCGTTTTGGTCGCGGACATCTCCCCACCTGTGAATCTCTGGAGTTTGAGTTTCTGCGAGGATGAGCTTGGTAAGACGCCGCTGTAGACCGCCATGGCCCAAATTACTTCAAGGTGTCGGTTGCCAAGATTCCGAGGATTCTGCCGTCATCACCACGTTCGTTTTCCCGGGATTCGGCATCGCCTTCAGCGATGAAACAACCCAGAATGGTGGCTCGTCAGCCTCTGTGGGACTCTGTGCAATTTTCGCCATGATCATGATCTTGAACGTACTTTCCGAAGTCCTCACACCTTATCATGCTTGGTTTGTTGCGTACTGCCGAGTGCACCATCGTAGACGTGTACCGAACACAGTGTTGCGGATACTGGCTACTAGTAGGTGTCCCGAACCGGTTCAGCGGTGGGTGAAATAATAGGATTTGATGTTAGTATACGCTTACCGCGAGCTGATCCCTCAGCTTATCAGCTACGTACTGGTATCGTTGGAATCATTCTCACGATGAGGCGAATGTGATTGTATCGAAGAAGGCTCCCACGGCTCAGCTGAATGTTTTGGCAATTGACAGGAGCTACTGGTGTGATCATCCAGCACTCTTTCCAGGGTTTTGATGAGCTTCAGTTATGTGCTTTTTTTGAACGCAGAGCGTTTAGCAATAAACATCGTCGGGATTTTGCTATAGCCAATTCCACTCTTGATCTGTCCACGAAAGTGCTCTCGTAGTACAAGGTGGCCTCCGATGAGTTGCGTGTAGTCTGTCGAAGTATCGATGTGACAAGATACGTTATTGACAAGTTGCGGTGCCTTGGCACTCTCTGGAATATCCCAATCAGCGACTCGGTTCACGGTTCGTCTCAGTTCATGCACGTTTCATCTTTGAACCCGCTTCCGAGGAACTCTATTCACGATGACTCTCCGATTCTGTTAAGACCAACTTCCTTTTGCAACTCGAATCGGACTATTGCAGGTATAGAAACCATGGAAAAACTGCGTATGCTTTTCGAAAGCGGCCTCCGACGCAGGAGTTGGATCTCGCACCGGTGAAATTGAAAAAAGTGCGGTATGGCATGAAAGCGACATCGTTCATCACAGGCTGGAGAATTTACGCAGGCACTCCGCCTTCCCGAGATCCGGGCCGACTCTGGCTTCGACGTATTTATCACGAGCCTGATAAGAGACTAGCGTCTTTATCCGCTATTGAGTTTCTCAACCAACCTGGTTTGTCGAGTAGCTGATAATGTCGGCGATTTGGACATGTGCTGGCCGTGTCACAGAATATATGATCTGATCCGCGATATCCTCTGGGTTGAGATAAACAATGTTATCATAGACAGAGTCAGCAGTAGAAAACATAGAGGGGGAGTGGTTGAAGCGAGCCTGAACAGTAACGATCACAAAAGCTGCGCGGCCTCATTGGGTACCCGCTGGAATTCAGTATGAACCATGCCAGGGGAGATATTGGTGATTCGAATTGGCGTGTCCACGATATCCATACGGGCGGCCATCGCGTATCCATTCAAGGCGTATTTGGTAGCGGTGTAAACAGAAGAATGATCACAAGGCTGAGAGTAGCACTCATCACCATTGATCGTGCACTTCTTCTTACCTCAGTGGCTGATATCGAACTAACGTTCACAACGTGACCGCGTCCTTGGCGCAGCATGCCTGGGAGGAACAGTCTTATTAATGCCATATAGCCGATCACATTCACCTGAGGAGGGTAGAGTGTGGTATCTAAATGTACATACCAACCAGATATGCAAATTTGGGAAATGTGCATCATTCTGGAGAACGAATTATTGTGAAGAAGTTGTCGCTATCACAGTCCCAAAAGGGTACTCTGATCACAACACATGTTCATAGTCATGGTTGCATTGTATATGCGATATAGTTTCAGATCGGTTCTTATCAATCTCGAAAAATAAACGACATTTTTTTCACATTTTCCCATCAAATTGGCACACACTGCATACGAGGGAGGCCTTTGTGGGTACATTGAACATGTTGTGAATATCAGTGACATCAGCTTCCCAAGCGGCTGGTCTGCCGACTGCATAACCAGCATTGTTCACGAGGATGTCAAGTGAGCCGCCAACCTGAGAGGTCAGAGACACTTGTTAACAACCTATCGTGGTAAGTGACCTACCTCATCGACGATCCGCTGCATTTTATCCACATTCTTCAGATCAAATACGATGGGATGGATCTTAGTTCCTGGTAGTTTCTCGAGTTCCGTTTTCAAAGCCTTCAGCCGGTCTTCCCGCCGACCAATCTGCCACAAGGAATCGAAATAGTTTCCCAGAGCTGGGTGTGTATAAAACTTACAAGGTAAATTTCGCAGCCGATCTCGGCGAAGCGACGAGCGGTAGCCTCTCCAATGCCAGCAGTAGCACCAGTGATGAGGACTCGTGAGCCTTTGATGTCCACGGGATGGTATAGCTTGGATGGTGGCAGAGCCATTGTTAGTGAATGCTAGTCAGAGTCCAGTGAGAGACGCAGATGAGTGCCTGGTGCTTATTCACAAGGAGATCTATATGACGTTGGAAGATGCTTTGTATATGGACTAACGTGGCCATCCTGCTGGAACACCCGGGAGCCCTGAGTGTAGCGGTAAGGCCCTTATGAGGTCTCCTTCTGCAGGTTATGGATAATGGGTAACATGTCCATGCTCAGTTAAGGCAAACCTCTGCTGTCTGTGGTGCTTTCCTTGACATCACTCAACAACACGACCTACAGACGACAGTCGTCTCGCCCACGTCCGACTATCGTGATGAGCTCTCGAGGAGTCTCGAGATCAACAATAGGGTGGCCACTCAAAATCTTGAACATAAGTTTTGGATAAGAGATGTGAGTAGAGGAGACTAAAGACCACCTTGTAGATGTGAAAAGAGTCTTCATCGAGAGGACTTTTGTTAAGGTCTAGCACCGTTGCCAGTTCTGATGACCATGTTAGCCCGTGGTTGATCAGCTGAAGTCCATTTAAACGTTATGGACACCCTACATCTTGGTGAGTGCATCGCGATACTACTGTCTTAGATGAATCATGAGTTTTTGTCCTGAATATAGACTGTAGTGTGTCTGAGTCGCTAGGCGGTCTCCCTCGATCGAAACGGTCCTCAATCACGAGCAATGAATGATCTAATTATCACATCGTTCTGCTCTAAGGCTCCGACCAACTTCGCATGCGTCTTCCCCCATCCTCGCGGTCTTCCTCGAGCATACTGGCTAGCAATGCTAGTCACGCATTGCAACTAGCAAATTTATGGTGACGTAACAAGCGCACGCCACTCTAATCGATTTGCTTCGCTGAGAATTCGCACTAAGATTTTTCTCAAGCTTAAGTTGAGTCGCATCGTCTTCATGACAGTCGTATCTTCGATTGTGAGTTTTGTACTTTGTATACTTTCGCATCGGTTAGTACTGTACAGATCTTACGGTCGCCTTCGTCGTAGTTTTCCAATCTTCCTCCATATTCTTCAACATGTCATCCGACCAACAACAGACTCCTTCCCCCAAGGCCACCATCACTAAGGTGGATGAGTGCTTCATGACGGCAGCTTGCATGAGTGCTACTGCTGGTGTTATCCTCCGTCACGGTGGTCCCTTCGGTGCTGCTGTTGTTCGTGATGGTATGCCTATCAGCTGCGCTCATAACACTGTTCTCTACAATAAGGACCCCACCTGCCATGCTGAGGTTAACGCCATACGTCATGCGGTCCGTCATCTCGGCCGCTCTGAGCTCTCTGATTGCGTCTTGTACACTTCATGTGAGCCCTGCCCTATGTGCTGGGGTGCAATCATGGCTAGTGGCCTCAAGGTTATGTATGTTGGTGCTGATCGTTACTGTGCTGCTAAATTCGGTTTCGATGACAAGGCATTCTATGACGAGTTTGCCGGTCCCGAATCTGGTAGTATGATGCCTGTCAATCCTGCTAAGACTGAGGAAGATGAGAAGTGGATGGCTAAGGTAGGAAGAGGTGATTTGCTCTGCTCATTATTGATTTTATCTTTTTGCAGCTTACCTCTCATTCCCACGTCCTTGTCGTCTCGTCCGCTGGTGAACTCGTTGGTGATAGTCTCTCCCGTGGCTCCGACCGTGGTGACGCTTTGGACACTCCCATGGTTCGGGCTATCCGAATGGCTGCCCTCACTCTCGGTACGCATGAGTTGAGCGGATGCAAAGTGTAAGCTATTGATAAGTAAATTGTGACCATTCTGAAGTTGATATATCTCAGGTATGCTAGCACTCAGCCTGATGTGTTCTCTCATTGTGCCTGTCTGTGGGCTCGCATCTCACAGTTGTTCTATGCCGAACGTGCTGCCGACGAGTCGGAGGCTAGCTACCAGAGGCAGCAGCTCGCTTTGAAGGCTGAGGACCGCGATTTGATGACCACTTGGGGTTGCGCTGTCGAGGAGTGTGAAAATGTTTTCAAGCAGTGGAAGAGTCTTTCTGGACAAATCTATTAAGTGTCTTATACTTTACCCAAGTCGGCCACGGAATCGAGGTTGCGACTTAGGTTGTAGTAAGTGCTTACATCTTATCTATTGTTTTCTGCTGTATTCCTACCTGTTATCAGGCTGAGAAAATTGTATTTATAGTTACTGTCATAAGTTGACCAATGTCTAGGAAGTTGAAGTATTGGGTTTGGAAACTGTTAATTAGCATTATATTAGGAATCTCTCCTGAGATGCCCAGTAGATCCTATGCATCGGCGTTAAGAGGTAGGGGGAATTGGAGGGGAATTCAGACATTGTGGAAGCAGGTGGTGTCCCACCTGCATCATCTGTTGTTGCGAAGCGGCCGTTGGATGGTAAGAGAGCGATGACTTTGGATCAGCTTGAGGAGGTGGGCTCTATTCGGAGTGGTTTCGGTCTACAAGACGTTGTAGGTCCGTGAAGCCTTTGCATTGTTCGATAGTGACAACTCTGGTTGTATAGATGCTAGGGAAATCAAGGCGGCTATGAGAGCGTTAGGAATAGAAGATGTAGTGGTGTTGTGGTATGGGGTTGGGGTAATTGAGTTTTGTAGGTTAGTAAGGATATGGTGGGCAGAATGTTGGCAGATGTTGGTAAACATCCCAGTCAGACAGTTACTCTAGATGAGTTCTGTGATATGATGGCACCTAAGATGGTATTATGACTAAGGGGGCATCGGCACATCAGTCTGTGGCTTGGAAACGATAAACGTGATTGATTGTCGTCTTCAAGGAGGCTGGATGCTATCAGCAGTTTCCCGTATGGTTCAATGTTTCATCCGAGTCATACTCGTAGTCGAATCAGCTGCGATTTATCAGTACTGATCATATTCGTGGCTATTCAGGCAAGCAAAGACTCCAGAGAGGAGATTATGAAAATATTCAAGCTCTTCGATGAGGATAATATAGGTAGTGTGGTGTAGGGCTCTACTATAAGATACAGGATAGTATGAGGCGACGCTGGCCGTCTGTTGAGTTGGGTATAGTCACCCACGGTATGCTCATACAATGCAGGTAAGATAACCTTCCGAAGCCTGAAGAGGGTCTCAACGGAATTGGGGGAGAACATACCAGACGATGAGTTGATGGAGATGATTGAGGAAGCCGATCGATCAGGTTGAGACAGATCGGCTCAGAATGAGTTTATATCGGATCATGCTCAGGCGATGGGACCATCTCTTTTGATGAATTTTATCGGGTCATGCGACGGAATACCAACGGTAGCGGGTGCTTATTGGACGATTTCGACTCTGACGAAGACCTGTAATAATTAAATCGTTTGTTGCAACACTGTTTGTTGGGTTTATCATTCGTAGTTTTATCTATGGATTTAGTTGTGGTGTATTCCTAGTGCCACACCGGCTGACCCTCTGGTTGTCCTCTTTTTGGAGGATCATGAGATCAATGCGTATGCCGAAAAGGCCTGAACGGTTTCTACATGTTGGGGAATATTCTCATTAGCCATAGTAGCTGATTTGTGCCGCGACAGTTCTGATGCATTGATTGCTCAGTAGCAGAAAGAGCGTTGGGTTGGACAAGTGGAAAGCAGTAGCACAGCGGGGATCCGTCTCGCAAATACTCTCGAGAGTCTATGGTGAAACCTTCCATCGATATTTGAATTCAACCCCTTGTTTGACAAATAGGTGGTTAACTTTCCATACCTCGTCGGAAAAAAACGAAAAGCATTGAAACGGTTATGGTGGACAAGATGTACCCCATATCGTCGTTAGGATCATATACGACCGCGATCACAGTCGAGGTGGATGCGGCGACAAACGTGTTTCATGAGGTGCAATGTACTAAGCAGGTCGTAACTCCAGACACAACAGAACTACTAAGTAACGACAATTGAGGTATCACAGAAAGCCCATGTATTCCTCTGCTTTGTGTATAGTCACTGACGGTGGATGAAAACATGGTGTCTCTACCGCTGGTGGGTCCACCTTATCGCATATATCACCTGAAGGAACTCGATACAGTAACGATAGAAGAAATCATTGTAATGAGAGAGCTTTTGAATGGTCACAGTCGGCGGCATGAAGTGAGAGCCCATCTCGGGAGGGTCTCCAACACCGAATCGCGCTGGGCATCCACAGTTCCCACCCGAGGGAGCATCAATAACATTCCGATAGGCCTCACCTTTCCCAACAAAGGAAGTCTCTGCATAACTCGTCCCTGGCGGACTCGGCGTTACCCTACATGAGATATTTCAACTCAGTATTTCCCAATTAGCAGTGTGTACACAGCTCTATGGAGTGGTTCCGGAGAGATAAGCATGGCCTCGTCCCTCGTTGTGAATGGGCTCATCCTCGGTCCTGTAGGCTGCAGACGGCTATGAAGGCCGGGATGTGGAGCTGGATGACTGTGCCCTCCGGCATATGCCCGAACCCCGTGTGATGGGTGACAGAGCACCTTGAGGCGGATCGTCATCAGTTGAGACGCGAAATGACTATCTTCCAACCTGGGCAGCATGAGCACAGTTACTGCCATGCATACACCCATGTGGAGTAGGTTGTAGGAGAATAACTCGATAGATGCCAGCCTGAACACATGCATCATCCTAAAGACTCGACTTGATTACTTTCATTCGTAAGGTCTCATCGAGAGGGTGCCCACCACCGGCATTGACAGTTACTTTATACCTATGTGACCATCCACACCGAGAAGCCACTGGCTCTCACATATGGGGTCTATTGAGTTTCGAACAGAATTTCTGGAAGACAGGCAGCTCGCCACCAATGGGTTTGAGATCTCCTGGCAACTCGTTGCTGCCACCCTCGATGCCGTCACCGCTACCGAGTCCTCCTTCTGCCGGAGTTTCGGCGGGTCTGTGCATTCGAGCGTCACACAATTCACAGTATTTTATGGCCTCACCCGCTGTCCTCTCCCAGAGGTGGCCCTAAGCGGAACTTGGCATCCCATTTGATCATAGCTCTATCGGGATGGGTGACGTCCATCACCCTTATATGGACGTCTGTCACCGGCCTAGCACCGTCAAACGATGGTGAATGCACGTCAACATCGGCCCACCTCGCAAATCGGAATGCAGGATGTGGAGTGTTTGCCAAAGCCCCAGGGAAGGACTCAGGAACACCACCATTGTTGGCACCTGGTATCATCACGCCAGGGTAAACCTTCCCCTCCGGTCCGATCGAGCCAGCTTCGCCATTACCTGGACTAAAGCGTGACGCCGATCACGTTGGTCGTTGCGTGTGCTAATATGGTCAACGGATAGGCTATAATCATAAAGGAAACACTATGGTGTGATTGTACATCTGCTGATATCATTGCGGAAGTGAGGATGTCTCAAGGTAAGGACATTCGATAAAACAGCCCGGAGACAGAAATTGTGTCATACCACTCGTCCGTCACATCGTCGCTCAAAAGGGCCTCCTGGAGCCATTAAAGCATGTCTTTGTTTAACCTTAGACCGCAACATTTGTCTATACGACTATTCCACCGATGATGAGCCATACGCTACATCCGCACCAATTTATTGGATACTGGATGACATCTTCGAGATAGCTGAGGTGGTACAATAACAACAAACATGTTGTTGATGACTAATGTTGTCGCTTAGCTTGTACGCATGCAGGCAAATTGTATGAAGTAGAACAAGCACTGTCGTCGCTTTATATCCGCGGTGACTCGTAACATCACCTCACGTGTTAAGGGAGGGAAATGTTAATGAATTGTCTATTTGCTTAGAAATGACCATTAAAGAATAAGGAACGTGATAGTAGAACGTGACGACTCTGTGACGTGTTGAATTAGAGGAATAGATCTCGCTCGCCCGGATATCTCACCACAGCCGCAGGATCCACAACAATGATGAGTAGAGATAGTTGGTGAGTCACATACGAAACTGTCATCGGATATGTTTGTTGAGACTACGAAGTTGAGGGGGCCACCTAAAGATGCATAATCGCAGATGGCAGCGGCGGCGACGAGGAACGAACCAGGCTGGGTGGTGAAGGGTGCCTCATCTCTTGGCATTATCTCCGCCTTCTTTATCATTTGATGTTCTACGTGATGGGTATTATTGATGATGAAGGAAGTGATCGGATGATGATCGTGCATTAGTATCGCGGCGACCATTGTGGGGGCATTATGATCTTCACTGCGGGCTGGGGTATTGACGTTGTTATTAACTAACTCAACAAATGTTGATAAAATATATCATCGTATTGCTAAGGAGGTAGTTCTCATATTCTAGTCTCATCAATGTCCTTTTTTCACACTCTAATATTTGCCACCTCGACCACGGGATCTCGATCGCCTGAGGAGATGAAAACTCTGCCTAGTGATATGGTTAAAACAATGAGGCTGTATAGGAGGCACTACAAAGTCACTCCTTACCGCCGTAACTCTTGGAAAGCACGAGAGTAGCAGTGGTAGTAGAAGGAGGAGGAGATAAGAAGACTTCAATAACTTGAGACGACTTCTACTCCGCTAACACTCCTGACGCTAATTTCTCGATAGTTGGACGAATCTTGTTGCTTGAGGATTCGGAGCGACTCGAGCCTTCTCAAGAGACCTTGGCTAGTTTACTCGATATCTTCCCTCCTCTCATCCCCCCCTGTTATATCATGTTATATTATAGCCAAGTCGAAGGTAGTAGTGAAATAATGGTCAATAACTCACCTATCATTATCGTAGCTTCTACTCCTACTCCTTCCACGACCCCTATAGCTACGTTCCCTGATAGGATCATCATACATCATCCTACTACCATACTAGGATGACTACCTGTATCCTCCTCCACCGCCTCTATAATAATCGTCACGATATCCTCCCCCACCACCACCATAGCCTCCTCTGTGACCTGAGGACTTTCATATCGAACACAGCATCGGGTAGAGAACTAACCTCTGTAGTCATCGTCCATCCTTCTCATAGTCTTCGGGGACTTGCGTCTCTCCTTGGCTATTTCCACTTCTGACGACGAAGAGGGATATTCCTAGTTGGAGTAATCGTGACTCACCAATAGCATTGCCTCCAATGCGCTTCCCATCCATGGCCGCCTTAGCCTCATCAGCGTCCCTTGGGTCGGAGAATTCAACAAAGCCGAATCCCCTCGGGCGTCTCGAGTAGTAATCAAGAGGAATGTAGACATCACGTATCTCGCCATACTTCTCGAAGGCCTCACGGAGCATCATAGGGTTACAATCGTAAGGCTACAACATAGAAGGAGATGAGTAGTACTGGAAATAAGATGATGATTATATTACCAAATTCCTAGTGAGTAGACTGCATGACGTCTCTCTGGAAGGTCCTCTCCCACCAGGGGTCCTAGATCGGCTACGTTCGCGTCTACGGGAGGCCGACCCACTATCACGGCCACCACGAGGGGAAGGAGCATCACCTATTGGACGACAGCGCTGGACCAAACTAGCGATAGAATGTTCAATATAAGACCCCATCGTAAACTCAGCGACCCATACTACCACTGTCAGCTCTACGACGCTCACGTGGTGACTCGCTTCTTCCTCTCCTATTGGAGGCACTGCGGCTACGAGAGGACGATCTGTTGCCGGGAGATGAGTGGCTCCTGCTAGAGGATCGAGATGAGGGCATCGGACGGGATCACGAGCTGGGATACTAGATATGAATAGTACTCGATTGATGATGGCGGCGACCCATACGCAACAATGAGCAGACATATAACGGTGCTACTCATCTCATCAGAGATAATCATAATCTACTATCATCATCTCAGGGAGCATCAGGACTTCAAGCGAAGACCTTCCAAATACCTGTAATAACAAGTAGTCTCCTCTACCCAAGCCTCCCCACCTGCCTTACCCCTCTAGCGCCTATCGCGACTGTAACTCCTCGAACGCCTCCTAGGACTCCGACGATCATCACGTCCATACTCATCTCTATATCCACCACCACCACCTCTGCCTCCATAGTAATCATCATCACTGCGCCTTCGAGGGCTGTAGCCACCGTAGCCGCCTCCATTATAATAATCAGAACGCCTAGAAACATGTGGTACTCTACTGAACGGACTACATAGGAATACTACCCATATCCTCCTCCTCCACCACCACCATAGCCTCCTTTTCCTTTGCCTCCTCTGCGACTGATGAGTCTTCTCATGGTACGTGGCGACTTGCGACCGCGTTGAGCGATGTCAACTTCTGAATCATCATCGACATCATCATCATCATCGACTAGAGTCCATCGAGCTGTCATCCATCGGTATCATCATCATCATCATCCTCAACACGACCACGACGACACAACGATAAGTTCTTCTATTAGTAGCAGCAGCATCAAACCTCTCATTATGATCATGATGATCATCCTCATTATCATCACCCTGAGATTTCGATAGGCTCAATCCAAGGCTACTACTACTACTGCTATGATTTCCTCTATAGACGTTTGCTACTACGACAATGACTAAAGTGCTGCCCTCCTTACGAATAGCATTGCCGTCGACAACCTTCCCATCCATAGCATTCTTAGCTTCAACAACATCACGGGGATCGCAGAACTCAACGAAACCGAAGCCTCTGAAATATGACCGAGAAGAAATGATATCCACTACTTTTTCGTAGAGCGTAGCCTACTACTACTACTATTACTACTACCTAGGCCTGCCAGAGTTGTAGTCCAATGGGAGGTAGACATCCCTAATCTCACCATATCTGCTGAAGAGGCTCCTCACATGCTGGGGAGAGGTGTCGTAGTTCTGAATATCCATTCAAGGGCTGCTCATACATACATCTAGAGGCTACCAAATTCCTGACTATCAGACTGCAGCTCTCGCCCTCAGCATCAGCCGCATCGTCTCGAGCTCCTCTACCAGCACCAACATCACCACCACCACGGGGAGGAGGAGGAGCATCTGATCAAGCACATTCGGGAAAGCCGTGATTGGTCCTACTAATACTACCTCTAGATCTGCTCCTGGAGGGATCGCCCCTCCTTTCATAACGTCTACTACCAGATGACCTGGAACGGGAGCGGCTACTCTCTTTAGATAGAGAACGGCGGGGAGATATGGCCATGCTCAGGGACGTATAATGCTATCGAACTTTGCAGTAGCATATTCGAATCAACTTCATACTTCTTATTAGAAACTCTTATAGACAAACAACGCATTATTGCAGGTGTGAACTCTTCCTCATCCTCCCTCGGCATCATCATCATCATCAGCCTCGGCATCAGCCTCGGCATCAGCCTTCAGTGCATCTCTCATAACCTTCGCTCGCTTATACACAACTGCCGCTTCGTGTGTCCGATTCAAACGTTTTAACTGAGGAACAGACCTCACAACTTCTCGAAAGCACCAACACCCCCACCTCTATAGCTAGTTTGATATCAGATTCCGCATTCTTTTTCATAGACTCGACATAATCATCGAACGATATAGCACCGGATTGGATCTGACGATATGGCAGGCTGCTACAACAATGCTCGGTAGAGATACCTTCTCGACAAGCATATCCCTTCTAGCCTCGAGGCCTCCCCTTTCCTCATCATCCGAGACTACTTCTAACCTATCTTCCAACGCCTCGACCGATACCCACAGTGACGGGTCCAATGGAGACACCAAGGGATCGACAACCCCGCCATGAGCCTCTGAAATGCACTCCCAATATCTAAGTAACTGGTCTTAACTTCCGTACCCTCTGGCCCTTCCTCCTCCTCCTTCTCCTCGTCCCCATTGCCCTCAGCATAGCCTTTGATAGTCGGTGGTAGAGGTGTTGGCAACACACAGTAGGCGTACTCGTCCATGGTCAGCCAAGAGGCCCTATCCGCTGGGGCACGCAGTCTACATCGCACCTACAATCTACTTCACGACGAGGAGAAGCAAGGCATTACCTTGACAACAGGGCGGGGGGCCGATGGAGGCTTCCTCCTCTTAGTAGAGTCTTCACCGTGGTGGACGTGGGATAGGATGAGTCTGTTGAGAGAGCAATGATGATCGGACTAGCAATACAACTGCTCACTCTCCATCCAGATTAGTCCTAGTCTCAAGAGGCTCCAGTCTCAACCCGACGGGGGTGTCTCCAATTTCCTTACATGAATTGCCAAACAGGCTAGCCAGGGCATTGCGTTGCCGGAAGACCTAATAACTAGAACCCTACCTTAGGTCGGTCGAGGAAGATTCCAAAGAGGTCACCTTCATAGTCATCTTCGCCTTGCCAAACGCTCTCTCTATACTAGTCTGCCGCATGTGGGAGAAATCAAAGTCGTGCTCCAGTGCAGTCCCATCCTGAGGACCACCTTCACCATCTCAGGTGAACCTATTTAAGCTACCGACAATCCCATGGTAAAAACGTGTGGGTCAGCAGCACTAGGTAAGCCTAGTATGGTGACCTCACAATGCATCGGGTAGCCCTCTGACCACCCTCTCAATATTGCCATCGTCTCAGGAGGTATCTACTAGATAGGAACCTCCTCCGGGAGGAGTCCTCCCTATCTCAACATCTAGGTACGACCTCAAATGATATCCTCATATGCCCCATCGCCTCAACTTCTTCATTTTCATTCAACCGAGTAAACTTCACACTCCGCTTCTCAAGCTCTGAAGGCGATCAACAACCAAAGATTGTCCTCCTCCTCCACAACAGCGCACAGCGAAGATTTCCCCTACCATTTGGCACGAATTGCCACCGGTCAGTCTTGGCCTCCTCAAGCCAGGTAATCTCACTCTCGGCGTTTTTCCGGAGTGAATTGTGCTTCTGATGAGTATCCGGAGGTTGACATGGCAAGATACGGAATAGGACACCTCATCCTACCACAGCCTCATCCTTCAACTTGGTCATCATTTCAGCTTCACCTGGCTTTGGTTTGCCAGCTAGACGCCTCAATACTTGTCCATGAGGTGGGGGGTCCAGCAAGTCTGGTGATTGGGAGAGCCTACTACCCAGTGGTATGCTCCACAGCAAGGACCCCTCTCGAGGACCCCTCCCGAGGACTACCTCAAACAGAATAGTGCATGGTCCTTATGGCCCTTAGAAGCCTCTTGCAGTCGATGCTGGAGCTGGTCAATGACAGTCCTCCGATCTACTTCTGACTGACCCATGATAACCTCATCAGTGAGTGAGGGTGGTACCTAGACCTTTGATGAAGTCCAGGGTGCCATAAACAAGCCCATCGCCGCCCTACCCGACCCTCCTTCATCGCAATACGACATTGCTTCGCTCCGCCATCTAGGATATCTTTCAGGTTGACAGCTGAATGGAGGAGGTCCCTAAGGATGAGGTTCCAAGGCCTCCTACCCTTCCTTGTCCAACCTTGCTCTCTGTGTGAGCCCAGCAGCAGCTAATGCCCCAGCAGCTTTCTGATAGGCCCTCATTCTCCTCAATACTACTGTCCTATGTTCCTCATACCGCTCTTCGTCCTCTTCCTCTTCTTCATCCATACTCTTCAGCTCGTCTGTGAGGATTCCTCCTTCATAGCCACGATAGAACTCCACCCAACTCACCCATAGCAATATCTATCCGTCTCTTGACAATGATACGATCACTAGAGTCCAGATGCTCCAGGAGGGCCTCATCTGCATCAATGCGAGCCTTCACCCTCTCAGCGTACCTATACGAAGCTCAACAACCTCCCTCCTTGTGCAGCAGCTGCCTACCCCTCTGAAGAGAGCCTCCCCGACTGAACATCCAAAGTGAAGGTCCTAAGTTGGAGATCGATCTCTGATCAGAACATTGGCGAGAGTAACCCTAGCTAACCCCTGCTGTCCTACCTTCCTTCTCCTCATCAGTCAGGGGTAGAGGTGGCCCATCCCCTCTCCTCCCAAGATACCACTCCATAACCGATACACTCACCAAGAGCGCGCATGCATGAGGATCAGCGGCCTCCACCACTGCCGCAGTCTGACCATAGTCTTCATCCTGCAACCCAAGAGACTCCATCAACTCATCACTCGTAGGGCCAGGGGGAGGGTGTAGCTTCGACGAAGGTCTACCCTGAGCACAATAGGAATCATCCTCCTAGGACTTTGTATAGCCCAATACCTCCGCCGTAGCAGCTTCCATCACTGCATCTACCTCTTCAGGGTCCTCCTCTTCCTCTCCGGTCATATCAGCCAAGTCCTTTAGCAAAGCAGGGTCGGTCAAGCTATCATCCGAAGCCCATGATAAGCCTACCCACCAAGGAGCATGATATCGATAATACTATACATGGAATTACCTCCAGGACTGCATGCTGCCATCAACTCTTTAATCTCATCATCAGTACTACTCCGTCGAAATCGATTGATCTCGTCAGAGTCCAACCCCATATTGTGTAGCTCGGCCTCTAGAGAAGCCTCATCGAACTTGGGGGCTGTAGGGATGTTCGACACTTTAAGAATGGATAATACAAAAGCTTACAGCGAATATAGGCGGACCCAGGACGCCACAGTGAGAGTAGTAAGAAACGTGTTGAAACTAGTTTCATGAGAGTAAGTCAGGCTCAATCTTGGCTCGCCAAATGCCACGAACACTGTTGAAACACTGAAAGGAGGACGATGATGAAAACCATAAGCCGTCAATACTACTACCACTATCTCATGACCAGCCTGTATGTATTCCTTCAGCATCTCCAATGTAATGATCCTCTCAATAGCCTTACCACTGTCTAGTAGCCACCTCCTATAGCACCCTGGTAGGAGACCACACTCTACTGGAGGGGTGATGATTAGCCCGTCATCCCCTCTGAGACCGATATTCGCGATGGGGGTCTCAGTGACTTCACTACGCTCATTATAGAGTATACATGAAGACTGTACGGGAGGTGGATAGAGCCTCCGATCATTGGTCTTATGCCTCAGCCTTAGGTCCGAGTGGTCCACACCAAACTCAGCTAGGTGGAGGTACTGACAGGATATAGGGGTAGGACACTCCTCACAAGTCCACCTTTCCTCGACAAGGCCACAGCTCATCTCCAATCGTAGTCGTCTAGGCCCACTTATCCCCATAACTCTGGCATCCAGTACAGTCCTGAATGCCCTGTTAGCCACTGCTTGGTCTACCCCCCATAGGGTAGCAGCACTCTTGGCAAACCTGTGAGCATGCTCATCAATAAAATCTATCCTACCATCACTCCGTAATAACATAGTCTCAAAGAGGTTGAGTTTATCCAAACAAGCTACCTTTGGGTAGAGGAGTACTTTAACCCCAACCTCTGTTGTGAGCAATACCTCCCTGTCTGTCAATGACCATAGCTGTGGACGGGCCTTCACTAGGATCTCATCCCACTCCTCTATAGGGTTCGAGGCAGCAACTATAGCACCACCACACCCTGTGGTCATCGACCCACCATTGAATATGAGAGTTCTGATGACCACAGCCATATCGGCCGATCGAGTAAGTGGGGATATATATCCGATAGCCCCAGAGTAGATGCCTCTTGGTCCACTTTCTAAACTATCGAGTATACGACAAGACCTAACTTTGGGTGCACCCGTCATACTGCCAGCCGGGAACAATGCCCTCAATGCTTGCACTGGAGAGGCATCCTCTGGTAAGCGACCACTGACTGTTGATACCAACTGATGGTAATTGTCATAGGTCTCCACTTGCATCAGTTTAGGGCAATGGACGCTACCCGTCTCACACACCGTATTGAGATCGTTACGTACTAAGTCGACTACCATTAGATTTTCCGCAAAGTCCTTAGGGCTATTAGCCAAGTCCTTCACTAGCCTCTCGTCCTCAGCTGCATCTTGCCCCCTGGGACGTGTACCCTTAATTGGCTTCATCTCAACCCAGCCGCCCTCCCCTACTTTACAAAACCTCTCTGGAGACCCACATGCTATATACCCCAGTGTAGGCATGTAAACAAAGGCGCTGTAGTTCGTAGAGTTACGCTCTCTCAAGCGTATATAAGCGCATAACGGGCAGCAGACGGGAGACCCATTGGAGGAACATGCTGTTATCTGGGTGGTAAGACACAGTTCATAACTGTCACCAAAGGCGATGGCCTGTTGACATGCCTCAACCTTATCCATATAGCACTGCCGAGAGTCTCTCACAGTCATCTCAATTGGTAGGTGGCTGACCACCGGGCAAAAGGTGTGGGGAAGGGAGGCCTTGCATCCCTTCAGAGCCTCATCGATAGTATTAAACCACTCCTCATCATCACAACCCACCTGTAGAGCCCATACACAATCGATCGAGTGATCGATTATGATAAGTCTATCAGTAACGATATATAGTGTAGAGTTGCCATCATAGCCCAGAGTTCCTATCACACAAGGGGGGATCAGAGGAGGTAGGTCGGATAATACAGATACTCCAACAACTCTACCACGGAGTTGTTCACAATACTCTTCAAGCAGAGTAAAGGAATCAAGATCAGCACTTAGGCTTCCCAAGTCCACAGGCTTCAATATACTATCGTGCCCCCAGATGACGTGCAGTTTCTCATCCACAACGCACAGGTTCGATCCCCGGGCATGCTGCCTTCCACCACACATAAACGTGTATCGACCATCACTCGAATGCTTACTGGGCTTAGCTGAGTCTAACCAGGCCACCGGGGCTACTTCGTCTGTCGCTACGTCCACGCAATTGCAGAAGAAATATTCAAAGAAGGTCCTCGAGTCAAAACTATCACCAATAGGGAACCTCCGAGAAAGTAACTGCAAATTGCCATCCCTGGGAGTAGAACCTCCGCGGATTGGCAGACTGGGGCTTGAAAGGCAGAGATTACTCCTCGGTCGCCTACATACATCCAAGCGTCTATCTCTAGCAATACGACATACATTAGAGCATATCTGGAGGCCAAACTCCGAGCATACAGACTCTGGATGGAATTGGACTCCAAAGACCGGCAATTGAACATGTCGTAATGCCATGACAACCCGTCGACTACTGCCTGATCCCTTCTTCCGTATGCAGCAGTTCTCTCTAAGATTCCGTAACCATGATGGACTATCCAAATCGATCGCGTGATCGATTGTACACCTCTCGACTTGCATCTCAACATCATCCCAAGACCATGCCAATACCTCCAAGCACTCCGGAAGACTTTCCTTTTCCACCTCTAAAGAGTGATAACGAATCGCCGAGAACTGAGCAGGGACATCAGCAAAGATACCACTCGCCTTATTAGCCAACACGACTGCAGCACGATAACCATGCCTAGCTGGAGTAGAGGCCACCACCTTCCCACCAAACACAGTAGCAATAGCCTGATGACCCAAACATACCCCAAATAGGATGGGCAATACGCTTGGCAATCTACGATGAGGGTCCGAATACATAGCTAGAATAGTACTAGTTAGGGTACCCAGATCATCAGCATTGATAGGATCACCAGGGCCAGGAGAGAGCACTATCATATCGTATAGTGTAAGGTCTAGTTCGGCCGCCTGCGGCTTGGAATCATCACATTTAACCTCATCAACATTTCCTGACCCTAAGATACTCTCGAAAATATCCTTCAAGTTATGAGTATAGGAATCGTAATGGTCAACCAACAAGCATCGTAGAGGTAGTAACCCTTCAACACCAACAGTCATTACAAACAGGACTATTATATAGGAAGACAAGACTGCAGGTTCAAACCTACCTCAAGACATTTCTCCAGCCATAACTCAACTAGTACTCTGGTAAACCATGGAAGCCCAACAACTGCATTTTCCATGAATGACAATCACCCTCTCCACAACATTTCAGAAAAAAAGCTTTCAGAATTTTCGCTCCGCTCGAAAAGTGTTGTCCTGACCTACTTTCTACTCGGCCTCTCTGTACGTATCCGGATGGAACAAGTCCGAGAACGGTGACCTGAGATCTTCAACACGACCAACAAGGAGAGCCTGCAAGAGATAGATATGATACGTCATGATCCAGTATAACTCTCATGCCCCGCGGCTACTAAACGACCGCCACTTACCATCCAGGCTTCAAAGCGTAGTCCATCTCGAACACAGTTGACATACCAAGGACACTAAGCACTACCATCATTATCTGTGACGCCTGGATGTTACCATAGAGGGTGTGCTCACTAGTCCCTATCCTGGAAGTACTCCATACCTGGTAACCCCACTGCAACTAACGTACTAACTCCTGATGTAATCATCATCAGCAATCTGGGGGCTGCTACCACCTTGAGCATTATCCATGTATCTATTCTAAGCACCATCCAACTGCTACAGTGTTACTACTCACACCTACTACTACTCCTCCTATTACCTATTCAGGGTTACTCTGAGCACCACCTCTTCCTTGCATCATCATCATCATACCTTAGAGAATAAAGCCGACATCGATACATAGACAACTCATCGGAGTTGTCCTTACCGTAACAATACAACGTCGCTATAATGATACACAACTAAGTCCGGACACTATGAATACCAAAGCTTCCCGTTACTACCAATAGTAGACCAGCATATCCAATCGGGACTAAGACGATATAGTGGTCGAATGATGAGACCTGACAGATAACCTTCATATTCATTCATCTTTGTAGATACTCAAGGGAACGATCATATTTGGATACCCCTGATTGATCTGTGCCCTTCATCATCATTAAGGCACCGCTAGACCTCCTCCTCTTGCTAAACGTTGACTTGTGACTAACATGTGCCTGCAATAACACACTACACTTTTAGGAATGTAGCGCGACTACCAGTACTACCAACAGGGATGCGGCCTTGAACTAGTGCAGTCGTGGTATTTCGCTATTGGTGCAAGCATCGATAACGCCAAAGAACACTGGATAGTTACCATCAGTAAGCACCCCTACTTGCGGCTGTAAATAGCAAAAACCCTCATATGTTACCACTACTACTACTACTACTACCGCGTAGTAGAATAACGATGCCCTGTGAAGGGGTCTTCCAAGCCCAAAGCAGACCTTAAAAACTCCCTGATTGGCGTTCAGCCAGACGAATATATAAGAGGTTCCTTTTACGAGGGTGTAGAAGCTACTAAGAAATCGAAGTTTTCGTCCCATGTGAACTCCTTGATAGTTCTACCAACTCGAGCACCCTTGGACTCACGGCTTCGGCTGCTGAGCCGATGGGACCCCAAGTGAACAGAGAAAAGACCAGAATGGAATAATTCATGCGGCAAAAATTATCAGAACATCATGCGATTGCACAAGAATGGCGAGGAATTAGCACGCATGCACAGACCCGAGTTCGATCCCCGGCGAGAGCATCTCCGATAAGAATGTCAAGTGTTAAAGGAACACGACACTAATGATGTAAAATAATTGTATATTATTATGAAACTCAAACTAGCATATCAATCCCCTGAAGACTGGTTATCGGCATCACTCGAGTCGTCGGCCGAAGAGCGACCAAGTAAAGTCGCTAGAGGCACTGCCTCCCCACCATCACTGCTGGTATCTGAAAGTGAATGCGGAAAAACGATATAAGCTACGCTCCGCCTACCACTGATGATAACTTCCCTCGATGTAGCGCTACCATGGCCGGCAGTAGTACCATTAGTAGGCATAGGAGGGGGAGAGGGGACCGTTGAGAAGGTAGCCGAACCGACATCAGTGAGTTGAGGTACTACACACACCGTTCCATTGCTCTGAGGTAATAAGGCAATCGATCTTCCATTCGGACTTTGATGATTACCTCTGATGCCTTAGCTTGTTCCATTGCCATATACTTCACAATGGAGGTGAGGAGAGGTGTTGGACTCATATCGAATTGTCGTAGTATGACAACATCGAGATCCTCCATCAACTTACATCGGTCTCCTTCTGATGGGAAGTTATCTGAAGAATGTAGAGCCTTGTGGACCCTTGAAGTGCTCGACTCCGACCTCACTACCCGCATTCTTCCCGAAAGTTATCAACATCATAGCCTTCTCCAACTGCTTAGTCGACTCATCGTCACTACCAACCAGTGGAGTAATCTTGTCTTGTACAAATTTCAGTAGCTCAGCCGGTGACTAAAATGATGGTAAGTATGGTAAGATTAACCCATGAGGCCTTGCCTGTTGCTCTGCCGCCGTCGACCCTACTAATTTCACCAACTGCGCGATCCGTAATCGTACATGTATTGTGGGATTATCGATAAGTATCTGAGGAGGCTTCATAAACACGAGGAGAGTGAAGGTTGCCAACCTTAGGGTCGAGATCATGTAGCATTCGCTCCGCCTCTACTGGGTCATCATCAGTGATCAGCGTACGTCGAATTTGTGCTCGGGTACCGGGAGGTAGATGGACGGCGTCTATACCGTTGTTGGAGTAGCCAGTCGATGACGATGCGGAGACCGTGAGAGGAGCTAAAACCCGTACTGTCGTCACCAAAGGCCCCCGGTCTAAGCACCTTGATGATGATGATGATGAAGACCATTATTCGTTCGAGACTCATTGAGACCAGCTTCTACGACAAACTCCGCTGCTGCAGCACTCCTTTCAGTGACTTGTAAGTAATCTAGTACTAGACGGGCAACATCCCTACAGGAAGGAATGCTGAATCGATGTTAGCAGCACTGCTACCCACTCCTCATCTAGCTCCACTTCCGTTAGCTTCTCCATCCATTCCTGACTGATCAATGCGAGATCTCTACAGTTTATTCGGACTCAGAGTGGAAAATCAGGATGAATAAAAGGTAGAATTTGACACTATAATAGACTGTTGATGTAAAAAAACTCTCGACGTGCAACTGCAACATCTCTATCAACAGCATCATTGGTCTAGTGGTTTAATACTTTCGTGCCACGTCAGTATACCCCCTAGCCTTGGTCTAGTGGTAGAATACAACGTTGCCATCGTTGTGACCCGAGTTCGATTCTCGGATGATGCAGTTCTTTTCAATTCAATAGATTATGTTCAATTATCCCATTTGTGCTACGGAAGGAGGGAATAGCCCGATAAGCTTCATTCAATAGGTAGGAAGAATAGACCCCAACCCTACCACCTACCTGGAGATTATAGTTGAACTTCCCGGAGACCTCGAAGGGGTAGTGGGCGACTCATCCCATCCGCTGCCAGTTCTCAACCCTCGGCGTCTAACCAGGGAACAATACTAAACAGAATGAACGTAATGAACGTGACAGACCTCGCTCGAGATCCAGTCATCTCAGCATGCCCAGGGAGAGTGGCATAAGGATGTCCCCGACGGATCATTCACAGAGTAAAAACTTTATTCTCCATAGCCATGTCGCTCACCGACCTTCTATGACTAAACCGAGTAATACAACAGTTCGCGGCATCAATGACAACGATAACGGATGGTTGTCTACTCTATAGACAACAATGATCGCACTGTGTGGTAGCCGATACGCGGCCAACTATAACGTGGTGAAGATTATGCGATGACCAGTGGATGATCACTGAAGCATATTCTCCATCCCCCACTCGAGCCCTGTGCCTTCACCTCCCATTTAATAACACGAATAGCATAACCAGAATAGTGAGATCGAGAAAATGATTGCAATACTACTATTGCTTCCCTCCTCCTCAATAGCATTGGTAAATGCAATAATCATTATCATCCTACGCAAGTAGTATGAGGATGACTGAAGCACCATTGAATATGAACCAGTGAGCTAAAGGTTAACGACAGCGTACTGGTGCCCGTACCTGATCGATATACTACCAACCCTTAAAGCAGAGGAATAAGCTACCTTGGGAAGAGCATAGGGGGAGCAGGCATCCAGGTATCCGAAACTGGATTATATGTCTCTACCGAGGTTTGAACCTGGGTGTCGGGATGATGCTCGAGCTACCACCACTACTGACTTACTTCCCCATTCTGACCACCTCCCAATAGGATGTTATCTCCATACACTGCAGCGGCACAGTCCATACGGTTAGTCGCTGAGGTATGATAGATGATGCATCATTAGAGAGTAACATTACTACCATGCTTGGCTCTAAATGACCATCCTTTAGTAAGATCAGCTACTCGTAAGGACTCGACCGTAGAATGGATATTCTGTTCATTATCTATACCACCAAATACGTAGACATTGCCGAGATAGGTGACGGCAGCTGCAGCTGATCTCTCCTCTATAAGGTCACATCCTTGAGCCGGCATCCACTTGTTGGCTCGTACATCGTAACTGTAGTGGATAGATAGGATTATTCATACCACTCCTCGGCTACATCTCGACGCTCCTGAGCCGTGATCCAGATGTGCCTCCAATGGCCCAGATATTCCCTTCAGCAGTAGATACGGCCGCACAGCTAGATCTAGGAGTAGAGAGTGGTGCGAGCTCCATCCAATTCCGCATGCGGGGATCGAACCTGGGTGATGGGCATGGAAACTCATTGAGGACTATACAATAAGGACTACTTACGCCTCAACACTAGATAGGATCTGTGTACCATCAAATCCTCCAACAGCGAACATCCTACCATCCTTCTCCGACGAGACCCCAGCACAGTTCCTCCTCGGTATATTAAGCGAGGCCTAGTATAATAGCAATACCCTACCAAGAGCCCCTACCCCTTTCCCCCCATCACCCCCTAGCATCCAAGTGTCCCGTAATGTATCATACACCTCTGTCTCATTCAACGCCTTGTAGTCTAAGTTCTGACCTCCAAAGGCATACAGACGTGAACTACTCACAGCACTGCCGAAATAGGATCCTATCAAAGGCGGGTGAGGGTAGGATTAGATCTAGAATGGGGTTTATGTACGTTCAGTGTTCATTTGTCGACAAGGCCTCCAGCATTGATTGGCTAAGTCCAAGACCTAGAGCCAACTGATAGAAGAGGGCGACAACTCGACTGAAGACCTACTACCTCTACTGATCGCAGATACTCATTACCAGAGTTGCCTCCAAGGGCGAAAACAAGAGGGAAGGGGAAGAAGTGTATCTAGGATGTGGTCATGATAAGGAGGATGGTACTTCCAACCTTACCCCATAGTATTGAGCCTCTCGAGCCAAGAGCATCGACTCAGTAGTATCACGGGGACAGGGAGGGGACTGAGGAGGAGGTGGAAGGGGAGAGGGCGACTATGGCCCAACCTACCATAGGATTCCTTAAAAAGTCAAGGATTTCACCGAAGACTTGGGGGTCCCTATCGAGGAATACTCTGCCCTATACAAGATGCGTGTAGATACTATATTGTTATACACAACTACCTCGGCATCCTTTGGTACTTCATATCGTCCTGACAACAATGCCTCTAGGAAGGATCCTTTCTGTTGGCATAGAGTCTTGCGAGAGGTTTCGAAGGTAGTCCCTGAGAGTATATGTTAGTCGTAGGATGAGTATAGGGTAGACCTACCACCAACATTGAGGGCTACCATACTCTCATTGGCCATGCTATGGTCGACTATACGGGTACGGTCAGTATCGAAGGTAGTCTTATCCTAAGACAGTAATACAACTATCCAAGACATCATGAGGAGTAGATGATGACCACCCTGTTATAGGCGTCCTCTTGCACCGATAGGGCCTGCATGGCCTCCTCCTTCTCTGACTCGAACCGTGAACGCTCATCTGCCATCTTCTTCCGAGCATCCGACCGCTCTATCTCTACCTACAGAGGTGCTGTAAGTCATCGTCAATAGTAGAGTCGACTACCTGTGTTAGCTGATTCTGCATCTCTAGATCAGCCCTACGACGATCCTCCTCCTGTTTGGTAGCCTCACGTTGTCGCTCTTGGACCTGCTTACCCCTCTATTACTACTATCCCCTATGGATAGTATTACAAACTGTTCCCAAACCCTCTTCTTCTCATCCTCGAAGTCCTGTCGACTTGATTGTATATCCTCTCTTTGTCGCACCAACTATACAAGACATGAGTAGCCGTCTATCACAGCGACACCCCTTACCTCTAACTCTGTCTTCTTTAACCAGCCGATAAAGGTCCTCCTTAGATCACCAACTAACCCCTCAAAGTCGTCACCTGAATCCAATACTCCCCAACATGTCTCTACCTCACCATCCCTAGCACCAGTATTAGTTCCACCATTCTGAGTGGTCGTATCAGACTTCACACTACTAGGGGGTACCTCCTTATCACTCTGTGGTGTCTGATGACCCTTAGACCCACTAGGAGTTACCCCAGCATTATTAGCCGCTGTAGTAGCTGAGTAATTGATAATGGCGAGGGTAGTAGGAATCCCTCTACTACCACTAGCAGCAGACCTAGGGGCAGCTGCCCTGCCTGAGGACCCCTTACGTGGATGAGGGGCAGCTGGTAGAGCTGGCTCATCGAAGGTCGGAAAATCTTCAGTAAAGGCATGAGTATCTGATCATGGTTGTTGTTGTAAGGAGTGTTGATGTAATAATAATGATTACCCTGTTGACCTGGGGGTACTGCAGCTGCAAAGACAGCCCCAAGGCCCCCACTATTAGGACCATTCTCCGACTTATCCAATGATGAAGCCCTACTACCCTTCCTACTATTCTTAGATGATGAATCACCACCACTCTGCTTCCGAGGCATAGTGGAGTAAAAAAGATACCTTATTGATCGTCGTCGTCGTCCACTACTGCTATCTGCGCGAATCAGATAGTATTAAGGAAGCTCAAGTGAGTACAAGATAGCAAGATGTTAAGGTCGAAACTAAGGATGTGGGCGGCCGCGGCCATCGACGAGGACGATATCGAGACGATGATTTATGAAAGAGTGATAGTCACGTTGGGGTTTATCACAACTATAAATGGATGAGTCGTAGGGTCAATTCCTACTGATGGCTTTTTTCAGTCCCCTCAAACATGTAGTTCTGGCAGCAGATAAGCCTATCTATTGATACAGCCATGGAATCCTCTCTTATTAGGGAGTTAGGTTATGTACCCAGTAGTCATGATGACCACGACTGTGGATGGATAAAGTCTAGGATCATAGCTGGTGTAAGCTCGACAGGTCTGATGTGAGGTAATGGACCTTACATACCCTACGATATGGAGTGGCTGTGGTATACTCTAAATCTCATTAGAGATAGGCAACCAGTATATAGAGGTAACTACCATATGGAGGTACTGTATATCGTACAGCAGCACCTCGGAGGTCATAAAACCTGCTCTGGGGATGAGTTTATCACCATAGCCTATGATGGAGATTCTTCATTGTGGTATTATCACGGATGTTTACGATAAACAATAGGGAGGTAATACTGATAGTACCCCAATGTGCCTACTAGTAGGGAGGGTATTAGGGAGATCAATGCAGCTTGATAGATCCCTTTGGCTGAAGGGTATAGCTGTGTTATGAGGGGGGCACTCTTAGACTGACGTTACGACATAGGTGCAAACCCTCTTGTTAACTTGACGGGTGGAGTCTTTTCCATACTAGCGGGGTAAAGTTAGTAGAGTGCAGTCGTATGATCTACCATTTGAGGAAAGGTACTATATTCGGTCAAGCCTGACCTTGGCTACTTGTCGAGGGGCTGGCTGGGATACAGTAGTACTCCTAGGCATCTTGAAGACTCTCTATGAGACATCTTTCATACTGTTATAAGCATGTAGTAGTTTATACACTTCCTGTTGTGTTCATCATCATCATCATCATCACTATCCTTTCCCTCCTTTAGGATTCTTAATCAAGCCCCTTATGCTCACATCCACCATCTACATACTACCTCCATTACTACTATTGTGGATAGTCACCATCCTCACTGGTTGTGGATCCCATCATCAGAGTACTCCCTCCCACTCTGAAGACCCCACACTCCTTAACAAGCGTATTAGCGCTTCCTCGACAGGCCTACTATATCTAGAGGACATAGACAGTTGTGCAGCTCTAGAGGGCCTCTCTAGTGAATATGATATACCAGGCCGTAGTGACATCACTGAGAGGTGGTCATCTGGTAAAGACCTCATGCGATGCATATCACAGCTCAAGATAAGTCGCTTTGACGCCCTATTCACTCTGCATAATTTACGTTATGGTGTCGCTGAGGCATATGCATTCACTGATATAGCTAGGGATTCCAACAAGTCTATTGAGAGTAATACATGTGGCTTTAAGACATATGATATAAAGGTGGACCTTTTGGGTATACTAGATAGGAGGATAGAAGAGATATCCAGAGTGAGTAGGGGTATGAGTGATGGTAGGAGGATGGACTACCTCAAGGGTGGTATGCCTGCATTGGACTTTCATGGTTCCCTTATGGATCTCCTTAATACCCTATATGATGCACATACCTATTACCAAAGCCCACTTACTATGTTCACCTTTGTTATCCCTGTTGGCTTTAGAGCATCTTGTTCGCCATGTGATGGTATGAATAAGAATCAGAAGGTATACCTTAGGGAGGTAGGACTAGATGTAGAGTATCGTAAAGTGTTCGGTAGATGGCCTACCCTTCAACACTATAACTACCTCACTCCTATTGCTACTATCAATGGGTATAACGTACTAGATTGGATGGAGTCTATGGTAAAAGGGGTCCTTAAGGGGGTCCATCTTGGTCTCAATCAACGACTCAATGATTGGTTCTTTGTGAAGGATGGACCCATATATGTACCATTGGCATGGTATCATGTTGGTAGTAGTGATATTAAGCCCTTGAAGGTAGTATATGAGGATGGTGCCTCTGATAGCATAGAGTGGATGGGCAAGTTTATTGATCATAGTAAGGGTATGAGCTCTATGGGAGTTACGGATGGTCTTAGTTGGAGGGTCTATAACTCCCTAGTAAACAAGAATGATAAATTTGATTATGTCGTAGATATGGAGAAGGATAAGTTCGGTAAGGATTTAGATACCCTACTTGAGATTGGTAATATAACTACTGGAGATCCTACTCTTGATAGAGCTGTGATAGAGGTTCTCAACAAGAATAGGAGGCAGGTGACTGCTGTTGAACAAATTAATACTATGGATGATAGGACGGTGACCTCAGCTCTGGCTGGTATGGATATGAGGAGGCCTCATACTACTACTAGCAATACACATCAGCTAGTGAGAGGGGGTGCAACAGTTGTTGATAAGGAGGTTATATGGAAGGAGGCCTTAGGGGGTATACTCAAATGGAGGGTAGAAGGGAGGAGAGCTATGGTCGTGGTTGTGACTACCTTTTCTATTGATGCTACTAAATATCATCATCTCTTACCACAATTCTTTACCATTCAACAAGAGGCACGTGCATTGGGTATAAGGAGGATCCTATTGGACCTGTCGGGTAACACTGGTGGCTCTCTCAGCTCGGCATTTGCCCTATTATGGTATCTATTGGAACCATCTGAGGTATGCCAACCTCTGTCCAAGCACATTACTGAGCACTGGAGCCTATGGTTGGCCTCATTCGCTGATCATTGGGCCCAATCCATTGAGGAAGGGTTCCGAGGGGCTTGGAGGGAAGGGGATGAGTTTATACGAGGCAGGATGGAGGAACTACGTTCGATACTAAGGTATGCTGCTGCTATAGACTCGGGGGTATCTATCCCTAACCTGGATGCTGCTCTGAAGAATGTTGATGGGATAGAAAGGTGGCTCTTAGGAATGGAGCCTGATGGAGCCAGTCGAAAGTGGGCCTTTAAGGAGATACTCAAACATAAGTTATTCCTAACAGAAAGGATATTTCAGGATGTTACCCGTTCTAATACTGGATGGTATCCATTTGGTAATGTAGACTTTGTAGATCCAGCAACAGGAACACCATTCGAGCCACCATTAGAACATTATGACCATCCTGAAACCCATCAGTGGGGTGGTGTGTCCTCTTCCAACTACTCCCAGAGGGCACCTTGGGCCTTCTGTATGGACATAGTACAACGGCAGATGCCAGCTCTAAAGGAGGAGCAGTATGATGATGAATACTCCTGGTCCTATTGGGAGGAGGTAGGGGTCCTTACTGATGGTAGATGTGGTTCTGCTTGTACAACTGTTGCTTCTACCCTATACATATCCACTCGTGCAACAACATACACATTTGGTGGTAGGATAGATAAGCCTATGGCTTTCGGCTCATATGCTGGGGGTAATGTAATCTCCTATGATCAGTTCTGGCCTAGATTCTCGATAGCATCACACCTGGGCAACTGGGGTACTCTAGGAGGCTCTCAATGGTCTAAGAAGTATGCCCACAAGTGGATGCATTATGCAACAATATTCCCTACTACTGCTACTGCCTCCTTCACTTTCAATATGGCCTTCCATAATGGACTAGGGCCACATTCATTACCAGTACAATGGTATGAGATACCTAGCCATCATCATGTTGGTATGTGGGCACGTAGTCTTAATGAGAGGGTAGCAATAGAGAAGTATGTAGTACACAGGGATTGGGCATATGATATGCTACATCCACAATACCCTACTATGGGTTACTGTATCCCGAATAAGAAGGGTGGAAGGTAGTACATGTTAGCTGCTGTTCATGATGACTCTTGTCGTATTGGTAGTAGATATTGAGTTAGTTAATATCGGTAATGATGATGATGATGATACTAGTAGTTCTCTTATGTCGTACCCCAACCCCCTACCTAGTCGGAAGAGAATACCAGGGGAGTTCACAGACCAAGTAAGGGCCTAGTTATGATAGGTACTCTATCACTACTGTTGCTGCTGGTCATCATCAGGTAGAGGTTGGTAGTGGTAACTTTTGTACTGTATATAAAGCTAGGGATACGATTGATAACAGAGTGGTGGCATTGAAGGTAGGAAGGGGGGTATTCCTACATATCCATGCTCTACAGATGATACTAAGGTACTCAATAAGGATGAAGTTAGACGTGCTAAGAAGGAGAAGGGTAGTAGTGATAGTACCCAACATCATGATGACCTCATCTATCTTCAGATGTCCTTATGGAGAAGCATGCCCTATCACGTCTACATCACAGGAATATTATTAAATTATTATATACCTTCGTGGATGTGGATAATTGCTATATAGTTACTGAGTATTGTGATGGAGGTAGTATTAATCGATAATAGTATTGATAGTCCCATCTTACTACTACTAGGGGAGCTCTGGAATGTAGTAGCCCATTGTGGTATTGGTGAACAACTATCCAAGTACTACCTCAAACAGATGGCTGAGGCATTACTCTATTGTCATCAAGCGGGTATAGTCCATAGGGATGTTAAGGTAATAAGGATCGCTATCATCATCATAAGTAGGGGTATGCAATAATAGGCTGAGAATGCTCTACTCACTGCTGATCGAAGATGTATTAAATTATGTGATTTCGGGACTGCACGTGATTTATTGAACCCCCAGGTGGAGGGAGCGGGGAATATGTGTTTTAATAAACATATGAAGGTAGGCAGTACCAGGGATAGAACCTGTGGCTCGGGTTTCATATCATTGCTGGTTGGTAGCACTACGTGGGTACTGCTAACTTCCTCGCCCCCGAAGTGATATTAAACAAAGAGAACGACGAGAAATCCGATATATGGAGTTTTGGTGGAACCATATATCAAGTCAGATTTGGTATACCACCATACGTAGCAGGTAAGTGAGTGATGATGGTATCTTCAATATCCTTCATAGTGCGTAGCAGGATATTCTTAGGTTCGGAGTATCTTATCTATCTCCGTATTAGACATAAAGATCTTCAATTCCCTGTTAATGGTATAGGAATAGATCCAGCATGTCTGGAATTGATAAGGTTAGATCCTATCAGTACCCTATGGAGTAGGAGTCTCTATTAGATGGTGTAATAGCAACCGAGAATCCCGTCCCCAAACCTTTGAAGAAGTACTCCGTCACCCATGGTTCCATAACACCCCATCAAAGGTGATTAGTAGTATCCCCTCTTGTCGAGGTCACAGCACCCTTAGATACCCCCTTGGAGTGTGGAGGATCTAGCCATACGGTCACTAGCCCGTACAGGTTACCAACATGATGATGGTGTTACTACTAATCTGGATAAGGGGGTACCCAAGTTACCCTATGATGAGGGATGGATACAAGATCATAGCTCTAAACTGAGTCAGACTAGTATTCATGCATTGAGGAGAGTATTAGTAGTACGAGAATGGGAAGAGAAGAGCATGTAATAATGCTAGGGATGTTGAGAGAGAAGTGGTATTAGTAGTATAGGCCTGGTACTGGTACAGCTATGTTGGATCATCTCCATATACCTGAACTCATTCAAGCTGAGAGGAGGTATACTACTACTGCCGTTCATAGTGAATAATTATGCTGTATATTATCAGGATGGATGCTACCACATCTACTACTACTACCACTACGGAGTCCTTGACTCGTGGTTTGAATTCTAATTCCCCCTCTCCCTCCTCTTCCTCTTCCTCGTTGTCGTCCTCAGTGTGTGACCCTCCAGATTAATACGCATATGTTATGTTTATAGGGGAGGTATTATTATCAGTAGTAGTAGTTGTTATAATGATAATGTTAATGAGAAGTACATTCAATGCCGCCGCCGCCTCCTCTACTACCTGCATTCGATGTAATCGACTACATTCCTTCATACTATTCCTACTACTGTCGCTACTCCTATCTACATTACATGGTTGTGGCTCGCGGTTGCATAATCTAATACCACCAACTACTGCTACTATGAATGGGGATGGAGGGGATAGTAGAGGAGGAGGAACTCAACAAACAAGTGGTAGTAGGAGGAGCAGGAGGAGGAGGCAGAGAGGGTGATATCCTATAAGGTACATTCGTGCCCACCCTAGTCTCCTCTACTACTACTACTACCATACCTACCACTATTGTCTCTTCAACTCTATCTCATACATCATCAACAACAACAAGGAGGAAGATGGGAGGGCGAACACAAGGAGTCACACCGGGCCTCACCCATACTACTACCACCACCACCATACCAACAACAACAACAACATCATCTAGTAGGTACTGAGGGTATCTCCTCCTTCTCCTCTCAATGCTCTCCCCGACACCTTTCAGCAGTACATCAGGTACTCCTAGTACTACCACTACTATCAACCATATCACAACAACAACAACAACTACCACTACTACTACCTCCACCACTAGTACTACTACTCCACCACTAGTACTACCTCCATCACGACCATTAGTACTACCACCAGTACTACTCCCGGTACTAGTAGCACTCTTTCCTCTACCTCTAGTATTGCTCATCCCACTATCATAAGCACCCCTAGTGGTAAGTGTAGCAGAGGCCATGATCCTCCTCCTCCTCCTTCTACCACCCATAAGGATCTCATTATATATGCTGATTGGCCCCATATGGATGCCTTAACACAGAGGAGGTATATCAATCAACTAGGAGAGTTTGCTAATGGCCATAGTTGCCTTAATGCTGCCCGCTTCCCTGGTAGTAGTAGTAGTACCATCTATACTCCGCCTCTACAGGGTCTAGACCCTCCTCCCTCCTCCTTTCAGTTCTACTCCTCGATCTTACTCCAACTAAGTTCGCTAATTGGATTCAAGATGGTACCAACGTGAATGCTCCTGATACTAGTAGTAATATAGGTGGAGGAGATGATTTCAAATCAATGCTATTAAGCATGACGTCGAATGGTGGTAAGGTATCTATAGTGGTCGCCCTTGGTCATGGGTATTATGATAGTGTATGTGGTGGTAGTGAGAGTATAGATTGTATGTATGCATTTGTAAAGACCTGGGATAGAGTGGTGCCTAGATCAATGGAAGGAGTAGTGGTATCAGGAGTGGAGAGCACAACATCAGCCGTCACTTCCTCCTCCTCCACAACTACTACTACTATGAAGGGTTCTTACTCTCTGGGGGTAACTCTACCATTGGGGACTCTTAGTTCCTATCAGAAGTATACCTTTGATTACTACTACCTACTCTTGATGGATTTCTGGTGTCCATCTATCGCCTCTTATGCTGCCTCCAATCCTAATAACGTATTCAATACGTATAGGACTAATCTAGGATCATTCATGGTCACTAGTGATGCATGTTCGGGAGGTAGAGATTCTCCCATCCCACAGAAGGATATCATTAGTATCAATAACAAGACCGGCATACTATGGTCAACACGGCATAGTGGTTCATCCTGCCCCTACCCTCTCAGTGATGGTACCTGTACTCAGAATGATAGAGCAGAGCTTGGTACGTTCGAGAGCTCTATTCATGTTATCAACCTTATCGACTACATGAAATCACTATTCACTACATCAAGGCATGGTTTCTATTATATGAGCCTTATGCCCGATAGTTGGTTCTCCTAAGAGCACCCTTATCCCCATCTACTATGTATAATGGTTTATATATGTTTAATAACCTAGATAACTCCAATACAGTTATTTATTATACTACTCATCATCGACTCAGCAAAATGTGAAAGAGTATTTTTGTTATCTACTCATGTATAACATCATCATCATCATCGTTGCTGCTGCTACTACTCTTCTCGGTGTGAGGTTGTCGTTGTATTATGAATCTCTTGTTCCTGCATATTGATAGGCTATATGTCTACCGTCTACCACCACCATCAGAACTCCAATACCATCGAGTTACCACCAGTTGTGGCCCTCAATCGGTCCTCAGCTCTGCGGGTATCCCATAACGACGAGAAGGAGGTGGTACTAAGCGACAATCCTATCCTTCTCTACTATCATCTTAGGTCCATAACACAAGAATGAAGAATGGTAAGAGTGGTGGTGGACCTCATCTCTCCCCTGGTAGTAGTAGTACTATTCATGATGATAGCATGAGGAGTATTATCAGGGCACATTGAGAGTACACCAGAGAGGAGGCCCAGAAGGGGGATGGGAAATGCTGCTGCCACAGTAACAACACAGGAGTATAGTCGTCACTCTACTACTACTACCACCCCCAAAGATGATCATCCTAATGTAGGTGTATGGTTATTATGATCATACTCTTATAAGTTGGATTAGGCTATGAGTAATGCTATGTTATCCTCTAATTGCTCCTTCGTATCAACCATCCATGACAGTGTTATACCTCCCTTCCACCACCGTCATTCTGACCACACACTGTCTGCATCATTATCCACCCCAGTTGGTAGGATATCCCCTCATCATAATCGTCTGAAGAGCAGTCGTAGTACACCAGATCTAGGCATGTTACGACAGAGAGGATCTACTACATCACTAGACCGTACACTGGAAGCTCCTCCCTCATTATTGTTATCCACTCCTCAACGTAAAAGTATCCGTTCACCCCGCCGAGTGTGTGAGGATAGCAGTACCCCTCCTCCTCTTCCCCCAACACTACGTCGAGGGTCCTTCCATCGTCGTGTGAGGCCTGTATGGGCTAATAGGAGCTTATGTGGACGTATTGTGTCCATCAGTATCATGGATAAATCCCCATTGGAGCGGTTGGAGCATGTGAATGGTAGAAAGGAAGTAACATCACCTCCTCTAGCAGCAGCAATGCATAATATGATGTCCTAATATACCCATATTGTTGCGTTGTATGAGTTGTTATCCTCTATGGATGCACACTAAGTAGCCAAACATTGCTATGAGTGTCACGAATAGACCATCCCAACACTCAGAGGTATACACAAATCGCAATGTGATGGAAACTATCAATCTTTTCCCATCCCGTCGACCTCTCCCATGAAGCGATCAAAATCATCTTCGAAGCTGCCAGTAGGCGGAGCGATGCTACTGCTACTCTTCTTATGTGGTATGGTCTCATCATCCTTAGCCGCCGCCTTCTTAATATGTACTTTATCACTATCAAGAGTGAGTAGTTCTGGTGGTGCTCCATTAGACGACGACGACGAGCCTCTTGCTGCCCCTCGTACTTGGCTCGGTACCTACCATCCATTCCTCATATCACCCCAATACTCAGCAGACCTTACAAACAACTTTAATTGTGGTTTCACAGCTTTGGCCTGTGCAACTACACCCGATGTGTTACCCGTATCGAAGCGTTGTAGGATTGCCTAAAGGAGTGGTATTAGGAATATTACGAGAGGATATATGTACCGCTTTCTTTGCCGCCTCATCCTTCCGTGCTCTCTCCTCTGCTGCTTGAGCCGCTGCTGCTGCCGCTTGACGAGCTCCTGAAGGAGAAGGAGGTGCGCAGTATGGAGAAGGTATCCTACTCTTATAGGGATCAGAGGTCTCCCTTGCTGTAGGCATCTAAAGAGGGTATATCAATGATGAGAATACTATTGCTATCCTACTACTACTACCATCGAGGGGGGTTCCATATTGAAATGAGTAGTAGTAGTAGGAGGTGGTGGTGGTGGTATGGGGAACCTACAACTATAGGCATACAGCAATACCGTATTGGATATCATTACTTACGTCGCTAATGGATGTAGAGGAGTAGGAGGAGGAGGAGGGGGAGGTATAATACCTCCCTGAGGGGGGAATTTATTAGCGAAAAATCCCGGAGGAGGAGGAGGAGGTACCTATCGTAACAATGGTAGCATTAGAGCTACTATGCTGACTACATTCAATACACCAGGATGGGGGAAAGGAGGAGGTGGTGGTGGTATAATGAAGGGACCCTCTCCTCCTACTCCTGGTGGTGGTAATGGGGGTAATAATACTGGTGGTACAGGTGGTGGAGGGGGAGGAGGAACGGGGCAGCTACTACTACTGCTACTCTTCTCCTTTGATACCTGACCTCATGTATATACACTAGTGAGGCAGTTCCTCCTCCTCCTCTTCTACTACCTCCTTTGTAGATCCTTCCTCCTCTTGCTGTATCTCCTCTCCTTTACGCCGTTTCTTGCCCTCATTATCTACAACTACTACCACTGTGAGGAGGAGCAGCACCAAGTAGACGTACCATTATCCTCCTCATCATCATCACTACTAGAAGACGATGATGATGACGAACTGTCATCATCACTACTACTACTGCTGCTATCCGCCCGTTTACGTTGTAATGCAGCTGCCCTCTAAATATCCGTGATAGTAGAGAGAATAGTAGTGGTAAATACCTCCCTCATTATCCTATTAGTGTCCTCATCATCACCACTCTCATCACTGCTATCTTCTTCATCATCAGTAATATCAGGAGGAGGATAGTTATGTAGAGTACCATCCTTATGCCTATAACTTTCCAATAGTATTGAGAGTACTTCTAAATACTACCGGAATAGAGTCTGCTTCCCTGGTGGTGGTATACCAAAAGGGTTAAAGCGTTCATCATAGTATACCGAGTACTTGGCCTATCATCACTATCCCTACTACTACTACTAGTACTGCCATGATGTACCTCCATCTTAGCCTTACGCCTAGCCTTACTAGCAGGATCAGCCCAGTCAGCATTAATCTTACGTGTTGCCCTTGCACTCTAAATTATTACTATCATCTAGTACTCCTGTTATAATGATAACCTCTAACTCCTTCCTTTTCTTATCCATTGTCATCATTCTAGGCTTTAACCTCTCATACGCCGACTCCAACTGGGATAGTTTATGTGATATATCAAAATCAGGCCTATAAGCTAGCCTAAGACCACCAAGCATGGTGAATGATCCCATACTACCGTCCCTCCTTCCGCGCCCTCTTCAACATCCTTTCCAATGACTTAATACTCTCCTCCACTTGAGAAGGACTATTCTTCATAAGCCAACTCTCTAATGCTGACAGCCGGTTCCTGATGATGATGACCACTACTTCATCATCATAGTAGTAGTGGGGTACTTCTTAATCTTTGCTTTCTCCCTTCTCTTCTCTAACCGTCTCTGCTGTTCAGCTGGGTTACGTGCTTTCCTCTCCCTCTTACCACCCATTGTAACTAGTACTAATCATCATTATTAATAATCTATTACTACTACTTCAACTCAAGATAGACTATAATGAGAATCTTATATACGTTGTGGTATGTATCACTGTAGTTGTGTAACAGAAGGTCCTCGATAAATGTATGGTTAGGATACCTCAGTGCTTGGAGGGCTTATTAAGGCCAGCTTCCTGTTTACATCGGGCGAGCTGAAAGATGATACCATCACAATAATACACATATTATTATTATTACAGCAGCATCCATATCAATACCGCATGAGGGGGAATCGGGTAATCTAGCGGTTAGAATGTCCACACCGCTATCAGTGACGACTATGGTATGCTCGAACTGAGCCGAACGCCTAAAGATAGTAATGATGATGATAGTTATATGGATGATAGTATTACTTCCCATCAAGAGTGACAGAGGTCCAATCGTCAGGCCAGGTCCTATCCTTATAAGTACCAAGATTTAACATAGGCTCAACAGTAAAGGCATGTCCCTTCTTCATAACACCAATAGCCTTATTCTTAGCATAATGTGGTACATTAGGAGCACAATGGAATAGGTCTCTTACACCATGACCACAGTAACTAGTAGGAGTAGGAACATATATCCCTAGGTAGTAGTAGTAGTAGTATTACCTCTTAACAACAGATAGACCTTGATGGTTAGCGACCTTCTGTATGGTATTACCAAGATCACGATACATAACACCAGGTTTACACTCCTCAATAGCCGACATCATAGATGCATATGTACCCTCTACCAAACGCTTAGTGTCATGAGCTAAAGCCTTGTTAACCTAATAACAAAGAGTGTTGTAGGATGAGTAGGAACAAGTAGTATTACCACTCCTTCAGGGTCAGGTACGATGTAGGTCTCATTGAGATCAGCATGCATACCATCATGGTATAGGGTTATCTATAGTTAATGATAAGGAGGAGGAATAGGGTAAGTAGTAGTATTACATCAACATTGACTATATCACCAGGCTGAAAGGGACGTTCATCCGGCATACCATGACATATAACCTCATTTACTGATACACATACCGATCTTGGGTAGTGATAGTAGTTCAATGGGCTGGGATAACACTCATGTTCGACCTAAGAGGCATATGATGATGATAGAGAGTTGAGAGTAATAAGAGAAGTAGTACACAGAAGTTATGGACAACCTCATCAACATCAGATCCTCTAACAGGATGATCCTTAGTAGTTGACATGATAAGTCTACCACACTCATCGATACATTGACGACCGAGTAACTACAGCAGTACTATAGGGAACAGGAGTAGGAGTAGGAGGAGAGTTAGTACACAAGCTGTTCTAAGTCTTGATATCTCCTCCTCATTAAGCTGCTTTATGAAGTTAGAACGTCTTAATGCTACCTCACTATGGGGTATACCATCACCAGCATAATCTGGTCTAGGGATAGACTCAGGTAACTACAAAAGGGGATAGTGAAAGAGGTGTAGAGTAATAGTAGTAGATGTACTACCTCTCTAAGAGGGCCTAACTTGGCTGGTCGTAATGATCCTGTCCATCCAGTATAGTTATGGAACTTAGCAAGATGATCATCCTTATAATCTTCATTAGTCTCAGCGATAGCATGAGCAACTTCTTCTTTCAATGCTGCCTTACCCCTACCACCAGATAACATCTGTTTCATAATCTTATGAACCTCCTTATGCTGATCCCATGCCATCTTGAAACATGCTTGACAACAGAAGTAGGATGGGGGTGCACCTAAAGCTATGACTACTATCACAATAAGGAGTGGTATTATTATTACCTATTTTGGTACATGTTGGGCATTTAAGGGTACATTCATCAGTAGTAGGCTTATGGCACATAGGGCAATGGGTAGCTCCTTGAGGGCAGCCTTGGCATTTAGCACTTTCTTCATGACCAGTCATTGTAGAAGAATATTAGGGTATTAGGAACTGTAGTAGATACCACGAGGGGAATAGCTTATGAAGGACAATTCTGCACTCAATCTCTACCATCGAACCCGCACAGGTTCGAATCCCACAGACTGTCTATTTCTCCCGTCATTTCCTATACCTGCGTTACATTACATCATATCATTGAGTACCCTATCTCAGAGTTACTCTCCACTTTACAATTAGGACCCGTCCAATATTCAACGAGGACACCTTAGCGTCCCAAGAAGCATCCGGTTACTCTCGAACTTAGTATCGGTCCGATACTATCGGATAATATTACTCTGACGATGAAGTTCCAATCCACACATAGCACTCATGTGCCAAGATACCAACTACTCATTCGATGTTTTATAACAACTCTATGTCACTAGGCTTGAGCCGGGCACGAGAGAGTAATAATACATGGAAGAATGCAGTACCCGGATGTTATCTTAAGGAGAGTATCTTATTGTTAATAGTGTAGTCTTATTAATGGATATCGATAGATCACCACCATCTAGAGGAGGATCTATGGGGGGTATGGATGCTACTGATGATGATAAGGAGGATTGGGGTAGACTTAATGATATTATAGAGTCTATAGAGTAATAACAAATGATCCATAATTGATGATGGTGATAATGATTAGATATTATCATAATTCAGTGAAGAGTGGTACTGGAAATGAATGTGTTATAAGGTCCTGGTTATTACTCTGGTCCTTGTATACAGCTGAACGTAGGGAATATACTCATACCACTACAACCTACTACTTCTATTATTCTTCTTGTTAGAGAACCGTTATCAGTTTAGCACCACAATAAGGTGTACATCATGATGCCACCATTATCATCTAGTAGGAATGCAGCTGGATGGGCTGATATCGGTCAGGTATTGGATAACATTAGGTAGGGTACTGAGTGTTATATTCAGAGGTTACGTTGGGCCTATTGCCATATACCAGCTTATAGGACGTTGCTAGCTACACTACGGTGGTTGAGGCAAATACAGGCTAATGATCTAGAAGACAATAAGGAGAATACTAATGGTAATAATCATAATACCTATCATATACTCATTTACCCTCTCATTAGGTAATGGTGTATTGAAGGCTATATTTGATATCCTTCGTAAGTGTAGTATATCCCTTATAGACATCATATCAATACATAGGTACTGATGGTGATGATGCTGCTATTAGGACTCTATCTCAACAAGCATCAGGAGATATGTATAGGGCATTAGAGTTAGCTGCTCTTATGTGTAATATATCACTATATCATTCTACTACTACTACTCTATATCCAGCATCACCATCACCTACTCCATACACTCATGAGGATGACGATGAATCCCTGTACTACATGGACTGGACAGAGAAGGTAGTAATAGTAATAGGGCTATGGGATAGAGTAGATAAGGATATTATTCAGACTATGATTAACACTGCTGATGGTGGTGATGAGGCATACCCTAGGGCTTCTAATGGCATCCATCCATTACCATCTAGGAGATTACTTGTAAAGGAAGGGATATTGATGCAGTTATCGGGCAGTAACACTACATCAGAAGGGGCTCTTAGTGATGATGATAGGGCTTGGCTAGGGTAATGATAGTAGTAGTAAGAGGTTATACTGCTAATGGGTGATCTATTAGATATCTATCGGGGCATCTATCAACATTGTTATCAACCAAAGACTGTTGGATGGGTAGTGAAGCCCCTATAAGGTCCTCCTCATTGTCACCCTTGATGCACGCTGCTGCTACTGGTGGTACTAGTAGTAGTAGAGGCCGTACTGCTACTAGTAGTAGTACTGTTACTTGGGCTGATGGTGACAACAATAAGATGATGAGCAAGGGGGGAAGGGATATAGGCAGTAGTAGCAGCAGTCCTATGAGCCTGTTACTACCTTTACAATGGGCTAAACTACACTGTTTGAAGGAGTCGGCTACTGAGCTTATATTAGAAGGGTAGTAGTAGTAGTAGTACTCTGGGTCCTCCTCCTCTTCTGTATTAGGCTCTTTCCCTCCTCTACCTCTAGGCAGCAGAGTTCGATGGTATTTGGTGAATTGGAATATTTGAGGGGATGGTGGAATGCTCTACTACGGGCATATGATAATAATGATAATAGTAAGGTTATAGAGATAGAGAATAGGCTTAATACGGCTATACAACAATCATTACTTCAAGCTATTCATACATCTACTACTACTACTCCAAGGCGGCGGCTATATGAAAATGTAATCATTAGAAGTGTCCCTCCTAACTTGGTAATGGTCGTTGTGATGATAGGTACAGATATCGTGGATTACCGCTATGTGTACCTATCATCCTACCAATGCATCATCATCATCATCACCTGCCTTTATGAATGCAATGTGTAAACCATTAAAGCTCATATGGGATTGGCTTAATAATGATGATGATAGAGAGGATGATGATGAGAGTAGTAACCAGGCATTATGTAATAGCAATGTCTCCATCATCTATCACTACTACTATGATGATTATGAATAGATACTAGCAGTGAGTTTGGTGGTTACCTTGCTACTCTATACCGACAGGAGCTCCTACCTTACCATCATCAAGAGCTTACATCTAATGTGGTTGATGCATTATTCGATGGTCTTATACGGGCTAAACTTGAGGTTGAGGATGATATGAAATATGATGTAGTAGTGGTAGTACTATTATTATCATCAACTAAATATTGAGGTGTTTATTAGGCTACAGCAAGCACTATCATGGGGGATCATATATTAGATGAACATACTCTGACAGTATTCAAAGATAGAGTTATCAATGCATCATCCCATATAGAGATTATTAAGGGTACCTCAGCCCAGGTAGAGGCATGGGTATGGTTTATTAGAAAGTAGTAATAATAATAAGGTTACCATACCCCACTATACTACTCGTTAGGTCCCTAATAACTGAGGGCTGCTACTGCTTCTCCTCCTCATCATCATCCAATCCAATGTCCCCACACTTACTACAGTCACTGTTCACTATATTCTCATCCCTGTCCAGTATAATAGCCGATGAGGTTGTATCCAAGTTCGATACTCGTATACAGGTAGGCTACCATCATTACTACTACCGTAACCTCTTGAACAGGTCCTTCGAGAGGTGGTAGCAGTATGTGCAGAGACATCATCAGAAGAGGAGACTCTGAAGAGGCATGTAGGTGGCTCTATTCAGCTAGGTACTACTATTACCATCCTACTACTAGTACTACCATTTGTAACAGCAGCATTATGGTAGATACTGGTGTGAGCTCATCACAGTCGACTCCTGTTCAGCTTGTTGCTGCTATATCCTTAGTGAGGGCTTGGTGGTTAGCATACTATGATGGCTATCAACAACAACAAGAGGATAGTGTGATGGATATTGATATGATAACAGCATTATGTAAGGATGTGTAGGTGTGATTATTGGCATCATGCATCTCTAGGTGCATGCTTGGTATACCCTTTATTAGAGCTCTTCATCCTCGATCAGAAGGTCTCATCAGATATCCTCACACTACATCTACAAAATAATGCTACTCGTAGGATTTAATATACCACACCTACTACTACTCATGTTCCCCATCTCAGCTCACTTCTGGACCGCTATGGCCAATGCTCAACGTGAGGTAGCATCCCTTCGTGAGGGAATAAGTGGAAAGGGAAGGCGACGTAACAGTATTACAGATGCTGATTTGGATGATATGCTATCCGTAATGTGATGATGATAGGGGGGTATTAACTTGGGAGCTGGCGGGCTTAGGTATACGAATCATTGGACTCTATCGTATGGTTACAATCTCTAGTCCAAGATGCTATACTACATCAACGACATGCACAAATACTTGATGAGGCTCCACTACCAGCTACAGAGGAAAGCTTATTATCGTATAACAATAAAGAGGGTGGTAAGTTGACTATCATCATCATCATGTACCTATCATCATTATCTTCAGGAGGGGCTGGTAATTCATTACCACTAGAGGTACGCCGAAGGATGGCTGATGCACGAAGGCAGTATGAGAGGTTACAGACGTGTGAGGAGGAGTCCCGGAATAAAATAGTATACATCATCATCGTAATCATGAAAAGCTCTACATTATAATGAACTATTAGATACAATCACTCCGTACACGAGTGATGGAGTATGATGTATTCCTTCCTACTCTAAGGAAATCCCAACAAGGACGACTACAGTTAGCTTATTGTGCATGGATGGCTATTCAGATTGGATTGAGTGTGGATGAGGATATTAGGAAAGAGCTCTTGGATGTATGGTTACCACAATCATTGTGGTTACAGTAAGCATATTCCTCACCCTTATGGAAGTCATTACTACCTTTATAGGTCATCACTACCAAGTTCCATCATCACTCAACTTAGAAGTGGTTGAATAAACGTCAATGTGTTTCCTTTTAATAGCATCGCGTGATATAGTTGCTAGGGGGAGGGGTTGGTTGGTCAAAGCAAGAGACACTCCATATAGAAGATGAATGAGGAGAGTGGTTGGTGGAGCGTATGTGGCAATGACTCGAGGAATCTGTAGAGGAAGGACGACACGAAACCATTATTTAATTATGTTTGATATTATAACTTCAAAATATCAGATTGCAGACATCTGCTTTACCAAACAACTTCATCCATCATGTATAATAAGACGTATATAATAACACCAATATGGGTAACAAGGGAGGAGAGGACAGTCAACCGACGGGGATAAACACTTGTGATTGTAACACGTAGTAATCGATAACTGACGCATCTACCAATACGGTATATGGCAGTAGTAGCGAACATACTAAGATCTTTTTAGTAGAGTACCTTCGTGTATTGGTAGTAGAGTACCTTCGTGTATTGGTAGTAGAGTACCTTCGTATATTGGTAGTAGAGTATCTTCGTATATTGGTAGTAGAGTACCTTCGTGTATTGGTAGTAGAGTACCTTCGTGTATTGATAGTAGAGTACCTTCGTATATTGGTAGTAGAGTACCTTCGTGTATTGGTAGATGTTACATACTCAAACTCAAGAGTGGAGGTGCCAGAAACTGGATAGAGTTACTTTTGATTATCGTTAGCTAGAAGGAAATCCTTTAATTTTTGGAGGGCCCTACTACGATGTGAGAGAGAGTTCTTCTCATCCTTGGACATCTCAGCATAGGTCTTCCCACTAGTACCATCTTCATTAGGTTGGAATATAGGATCCCATCCAAAGCTATTAGGCCCTCTTGGTGGTACTATTACACCATGTGTAATACCAGTAAAAGTGAGAGGATCATCAGTAGTACCATCATAATAGGCAAAGGTGCATCTAGCTTCAGCCCCTTTATCCTAATCATCACCTCATCAACATCATCCTACTGTGACTACACCCTCTTACATGAAATCCTTCCAACATGCGATTCAATCCATCATGACCCAACTTCTCTAGAAACCATTTACTAAAGCAGTCAGTGACAACAGAATGGAGGAGGAGGAGGATGGTTGTTGTATTACATATAAGGTCCTGGTAGACCATGCATTGCATCAAATCCAAGACAGGTATCCTCAACCATAACCTTCCTACCACTACCACCAAGCCTATTATAAGCTTCTAGACATTTCTGTTTGCTTATAGCCTCAGGGCTTTCTCCTTGATATTCGGGGACTGAATACAATCATGGTAAGAATAGATATATTGTGATATACAGGTGGTGGTACGGTCAACTTTGATATTATCAAACTTGATAGACCCTCCAATGATCTGTTGTACTTCTCTAAGCTTATTAGCATTACCAGTGACGAAGGTTATCATGACTGATGACAACAACTATTACTGAATCTATAATGATACCAAGATGGCTAATCGAACGCAATAAAGTAATACTACTGCAGCATGGTGTGAATTAGAATAGCGAATACTGGATGAATAGGAGTAGTCCATATGGAATAGTCTATAGACTAATGAATGATAATATGAGTATTAAACCGAGTAATACACGAGTGATGACAATAGTAGAGGTGCTTAGATTAACCTTCAAAATAGGTACCTAATAGGGTAGATAGATGATGAGGGCAGTAGTAGTAGTAGTTGGTCACATTAGGCCAGATGTTATCCATATCTGGGCATACACGTTGTAGATATCGGACTAGACCTCCATCCAAAGTTCTACCACCAATGAGCTCTACTGGTTGGGTATTTAAGTAATCATGGCGACAGTTAATCCTCAACTTGTAGGATATCTCATATAAATGACGCTAAACAGAAGTGTGGGATACTCTTCATGTTGCTGTTCATGTTGCTGTTCATGTTGCTGTTCATGTTGCTGTTACTAGTACTACCTTTAGTTGAAGTTTGAGCTCATCTAATGGGCAGTTGAAATACTCCAGTACCTACTGGAAGGTGATGATAATAATAAAGGCCTCTATGGTAAAAGGATTAACCTCTTCTTGAGTATAGTCTCTATCAGTTGTACATACATGATAGGTAACACATGATGATGTGCAGAATTGGGAAGGATCACTCCTATAAACAATATGATAATAATGGCTATGAATGCTGCTGCTGATGCTGATGCCAATACTATTACGTATTGGCACTACGGACTGTTCTATCCTTGGAACATATATCAATGAGACCATCACATGATGATACTACCACATCGGGTAGGAGTAGGAGGACCTAAGGATGAGGGTTGTCCTATGATGATCAAGATGGACAACAACAACAGGAGCAGAACCTACGCAAAGGATAGCAGCAGTGGATGAAGCGAACATGATAATAACAATAGGACGACGACTATATTAAAGAGATATAAAGCTTAACTCGACAACACATGGGTGTAGGTATCACAACTCATCAACCATCACTGCAAGTATCTACTCATGTATCACGCTATCATGAGGAGGTAGACAGACTCCTTCTACTGCTGGATAGGTAATACACTAAACATAGAAAATAGAAACTAGAGAGGTATGGATAATGACCCCCATCATCATCATCACCGCCGCCGTCACCCTCAACTAAACAATACCTGGATAGTGATGCATGATGACAAATGATAATGATGATGATACTGGTATGGGTAGTAAGGAGTAGTCGTTATATTGGGATATCATACTCCTTGGGGTTGATTCCTAAGAAGTCAATAGCAGTACCATACAGAAGTTGAGATTTAACCTAACATAGATGGTAATAATGATGATATTGACTAGGAAGTGTATACCTGATGATCGAGTTGTATACAAGTTTCAATAGTTTGTCCTGGATAGGTATCGAGATATTCTCCTGTTACTGGAGCTATACTAGGTACTTCACCAAGGGGGAAGGGATAGTCCGATCCAAGGGCTACTCTATTGGCACCAAACTGATTAGGTACGATTAGGTATATAGGGATTAGCAAGATGATAATACCATGTTAATAATAATGTGTAGCATAGTCTGGTCATGGCATATACTATCAACATATACTCCCTTTACAGCACTGAACTGTATAAGATATATACTTTTAATATATTACTAGACTTACTCTCTTGGATTTACTTGAGTATCCTTAGCAACTAGATCAGGTCTACATCTCCAACCCCATTCTATCCTTCCTAAGGTACCTAATATCCATAGTATACAGAGTAATGAGTGGTAGTAGCTGGTATTACTACCTGGTATAGACCCTCCACCATGGGCAAACATTATCTTCAAATCAGGAACCTACTACTCTCATTATAGGTGATATAATGATATCATTACCTTATCTATTATACCACCCAACATAATAGAACACATACCTAGACTTACTTCAGTAGGCATCCCTACTAACCATGGTAACCAATACCTAAGGATTATAATAATAGTCTCTCATCATAATCATACACGTATTATTACTCTTGCCAACACCATTCCATATCCCATGGATGTACAAATATTCCGACATCTAATGATCTAACGTAGAGGGTAATGATGATAATGTGTAGCGATTAGTATTGATATTATCACTTGGCAGTATGCCATATTGGCATGAGCCTCTTATCATTAAGCATTATATTCTCTATCCCTCCCTTTGGAGTCCATGAGTTAATATGACTTCCTATCTGGAAGCCTCTCATACCCTTCTCCATAACAGCTCTTTTCATCTCTTTAGCAGCCTCTTCTGGATGCTGTAATGGTAAGGTACCTAAGTTATCATCATCATCATCTCTATTGTAATGATGATACAGCAGTAATACTAGTCAAGTACCGACCTAAAGCAACCATCCTTCTAGGATACATTCCTACTTGTCCAGCAAGGGAATCATTAAGGAATCTATTATTATAATATTCAAGGTAGAGAGTATAGGTACCTCTATTACTACCTACTCCATTCTATACCAGATGTTGGATCCAAATGATAATTAAATAAGACAGGTACTGTACATACTGTTTGGACCTACTACACTATACTTCATGATAAGGATGGTAATGATGATAAGTGTATACATTAACACCCCAAGATTCACATTCTCTCATAACAACATGAGGATCGATACAATTAGGCTTCACCTAAGAAATAGTATACTAGATGATGATGATGGAGTAGGGATAGGAGGAGGAGGAGGACGACGACCACCTTCCTGAACAGTTTGCCATCACCCCATTCCATCCTTTTGATAAACCCTGCATTACGACCAATATCATCGTCTTTAGGTAGGTCTACTAAACGTAGATCGAAACCACCCTAATAGAGATAGTAGGATATAGACATCATGAGTGTTACCACCAATTACAATAGATGGCCAATCTTGAGGGAGTATATGGGTATGTATATCGATCTTAGGAATAGTAGGATCATCATGATGGTCAGTACTCATTAACATAAGCTGAACATGCCCTATATTCATAATAATAACAATATTACTTGTTATCAACACAACAATGTAGTAATCATTATCCTAGACAAGACTACTCCTAATAGTAGTAACTGCCGACTACCCGCCGGAACCAAATCGATAAGCATCGTCAACAACGACAACAACAACCTGCTGCTGCTGCTCACGATAGGAAGCAACGCACGCTACGTGACGAGGTCCTTGATGATGATGATGAGGATGATGTTCGAATGGTACAATAATGATCAATCAACAACAGTTGTGGCAGTAGTTATTATTAGTTGGTATTGTTAGTCTCATCTAGAAGATTCTGGAAGGCAGTATCAATCTGGTTAACAAGATTAGCAAAGAAGTTAGCGAAATCCTCTTCACTATGTTGAGGCATCTCGAACTTCATATTGGTAATAGCGACGATAACATCCTTGCAAGCAGTAGATATCTGTGACCATCCAATAACCTTATCACCATGATTCTCAGACAAACATTTCTGAGCAGCATCATAGAAATGACAGATACATTTCATCATACCAATAGTCTTAGCTAGAGGGCACATATAATCATAATCACTGAAACCATTCTGTTGAAGGAAATCTTCACGAATAATACGAGCAACCTCTAAAGTACACTTCTGATCTTCAGATAGTGAATCACGACCAACCAATTGTACAATTTCTTGTAGATCATCTTCAGTCTGAAGAATCTCTTTAACCTTTTGTTGTAAAGATGAATACTCATTATCATACTTGTTGAAGAAGGGCTCCAAGGCACGAGTATACTTTGAGAAAGAGATATTCCAGTTAATGGAAGGGAAATGCTTCCTCTGAGCCAACTTCTTATCAAGACCCCAGAATACTTGTACAATAGATAGAGTTGCTGAGGTAACAGGATCAGTGAAATCACCACCAGGAGGAGATACAGCACCAACAATAGTTACCGCACCCTCACGATCAGGAGAACCCATACACTTAACACGTCCAGCACGCTCATAGAAGAAGCAAGACGAGCACCGAGATAAGCAGGATAACCAGAATCAGCAGCATCTCAGCCAAACGACAGATATTTCACGTAAAGCTCAGCCCAACGAGAAGTAGATCAGCCATCATACTAACATAAGTCCCATATCACGGAAATACTCAGCAGTGGTGACACCAGTATAGAAAGATGCCTCACGAGCAGCAACAGGCATATTAGAGGTATTAGCAACCAAGGTAGTACGTTGCATAATCTGTTCCTCTTTACCATTAATAAGAGTAGTAAGTTGAGGGAATTCAGTTAAGACTTCAGCCATTTCATTACCACGTTCACCACAACCAACATAAACAACAACATCACTATTGGAATATTTAGCCAAAGATTGAGAAATAACTGTCTTACCACAACCAAAGGCACCAGGTACAGCACAAGTACCACCAAGAGTAGTAGGGAATAAAGCATCAATAACACGTTGACAAGTAAGCATAGGAGCAATACCAGGGAGCTTCTCAACACATGGACGAGCATGTCTTACAGGCCATGAATGTGCCATAGATAGCTTAGTAGTAGTACTACTACTTACATCGACATCACTTCCTCCAAGGCTGCTACTGTTGGACTCAATCTCCATTAAACAAGTATGAACAGAGTAATTACCATTAGGGGCAATCCATTGTACACGTCCTTGATTTCCAGGAGGTACCATAACCTTATGGTTACTGAATAAACCATTCTCAATAACAAAACCAATAATATCACCACCAGTTACGATATCACCAACACGTACGTTAGCAGCTGGTTTAAACTCATAGAGTTTATCGCCATCAAGAGCAGCAACATCGACACCACGAGGAATGAACAATGATTTGGATAAATCACGAATACGCTCTAGAGGACGTTGAATACCATCAAAGATATTATTAAGAATACCAGGTCCTAGCTCAAGAGCAAGAGGTT